CAAACGAAGAAATTAGCTACCACTTCCACTTGTCTAGCCAGAGATCAGTTAACCAAATATACAGACAGAGATTCAGTAAAACAAAATCACATTGATTGATTATCAGACAAGTCACAGGCTTTTGGTCAGCAGTAGGACAGGCTACTACTACGCGAGTGAAGAGCAAATCCACTTGCATAACATGCTAGCAAAAACTAAAAACTAAAACCTGACATTGACTGATTTATCTAGAAGAGCCCCCCAAGCTTGCCTCAAAGCATCGCTATGGCGCTGTTCCAATCAAAACGGTGCTGAAATGATAATCTAGGTGACCTCACACAACTATTGCTTTAAATTAGCATAACGGTTGGATATGACTTTGGGAGTTTAAGTATAAGCAAGAATTTGATTCATGCCTTCAATTCCATTAGCCTATATTTTCATCATTCGGTCTCATGTGCAGTCCTGCAGTGTCATTTATGTGTATGCTTTAAATTTATGGCGACTTTGTGTGAAGTAAATCCGCTAGGCTAAAGGCTTCCAGGCGACAACCTGTTTGGATAATGTGCTATTTGTTCAATCTGTTGCTGCGCATGTTGTGTATTTTGTTGAATTGCAATAGTGCGACATTAGTGGGACATTTTGTAATTTCCCGGGTCTTGTCATTTTATTTTTTCGGGAAATGTGAAGCGTGGTCCCGGGACAGTCCCGGGATCCTGGTTACTAGTCCACACACCCACACAGTCGTCAAAAGGGCATGCAGCGCATCTTCCCCCTCAGGATGCAAAAAAGATTTGGCATGGGATTTGGATCATCAAAAAGTTCAAAAGCTGCACCATCGTGAGCATCTTGACTGGCTGCATCACCGCTTGGTATGGCAAATGCACCGCCCTTGACTGCAAAGCGCTACAGAGGGTGGTGCTGACAGCCCAGTACATCACTGGGGCCGAACTCCCTGCCATCCAGGACCTCTATGTCAGAGGAATTATAATATATCCTGATGCCTAGTCACTTTACCCTGCCTTCTACCTCAATTACCTCGTACCTCTGCACATTGACCTGGTACTGATACTCCCTGTATATAGCTCCATTCTTGGGTATTTAATTGTATTCCTCTTGTGTTACTATATATATATATATATATATATTTTTTTTTTACTCTGCATTGTTGGGAAGGGCTCGTAAGAAAGCATTTCACGGTAAAGTCTACACCAGATGTATTCGGCGCATGTGACAAACAACATTAGATTTTGATTTGAACAGAAGTGTCATACCTGTGTGGGTGTGGGGAGAACTCCCTGTGAACAATTAGTTGGTAATGTTAAGTGACAATACTAACCACTAAAACACAGGTGCATTGCAGTCTTGGAAACAATGTGAAAAGAAAGAGAATACGAGATTTTGAAGATTGAATTAGCCGCGCTATGGCGCGCCACATGAACTAAATACCAGTTACTTTCAGTTGTATAAATGAATGTGAGTCTGTTCGAATGAATTCATGAATTCATGAAATGATGTGAGTCTCTTTGTGTTAATGAATGAATTGTCAGTGGGTGCTCTTTAAAAAGACAGTGTCAGATTATTTATTTCCTTGTTTTCATCACTACCAGAAAATCTGCAGGGTGTGCAATGGATCTGGTTATCATGGTCGTGGGTATGTACTGATTTGTGATCAATACAATCATTGCGAGGGGCAGAGGAAGGGAAAGTAAGTATGATATGCACTCCATTGAACAGCTTTTAATCACAGGTTAGAAACAGGAAAACTGCATTTCTGTAGGAAACTGCCCAGAAAATCACACAAATGTAACTATATGTAGTGTGTTACTATATGTAATATACTACTATATGTAATATGCTACTATATGTAGTGTGTTACTATATGTAATATACTACTATATGTAATATGCTACCACTATATTTAATATGCTACTACTATATGTAGTGTGTTACTATATGTAATATGCTACTATATATATATAATTTTTTTTTGTCATTTAGCAGACGCTCTTATCCAGAGCGACTGACAGGAGCAATTAGGGTTAAGTGCCTTGCTCAAGGGCACATCGACAGATTTTTCACCTAGACGGCTCGGGGATTAGAACCAGCGACCTTTCGGTTACTGGCACAACGCTGTTAACCACTAAGCTACCTGCTGCCCCATATATGTAATGTGCTACTAAATGCTTACTTAGGAAATAGCTGTAGTACAGTGTTTGTATTGCAGTCGTTTCCTTATTTCCTATCAGACACTTGGGTGGCTTGCTTGAAATTTTCTCCGGACGTTTTTTCTCTGCAGCTGCGACCTTTGTGATGGCCAAGGGTCAAAAGAGTGTGAGACCTGTCATGGGCAACGACAGATTTTGGTCTACATCAACCTCAAGGTGAAATGGTGAGTGGTGTTGCTGGCTCAGCATTGTTCAACTAAATAACAGTATGACTGCCTTTACACAGGCAGCCAAATTCTGATCTTTTGCCCAATTATTGGCAAAAAAAGCTGATCTGATTGGTCAAAAGACCAATTAGTGGAAAAAGATCAGAATTGGTCTGCCTGTGTAAACTCAGCCTCTGTGTCATACAGTGGATCCAGTAGATCCATCAACTTTCTCTGCTTCCCTTGTATGAGTAACTAGGAGATGTATTTATTGTTTATCTTCTACTTTCACTTGATTTCCTCTATTTCTGAATCCACACTGACTAGGACTAATAATCCTGAAAACTATGTCGGGAACAGTCCAGTGGTTTACAAATGGCCATGGGCAGGATATGTTTAAGGACTCTCAGTACATGGTAAAACTCTCACTATCTGTAAGTCGCTCTGGATAAGAGCATGTGCTAAAATGACTAAAATGTAAATATGGTAAAACTCTCAGTACATGATCAAACTTTCAGTACATGGTCAAAATCTCAGTACATGGTAAAACTCTCAGTACATGGTAAAACTCTCAGTACATGGTAATATGCCATATTTATGGGAATATGACATTTCTGGGATTAATTTATAATGGACTAAATAGAGGATTACATGATGTAGCAGGAAATTAAAATATTTGATCATGCCTTGTTATGTACATGAGGCAATACGTTATTCCTATCATTTCATAATGGCACGCATATACCCTCGTTCATGTAGGTTCACCCAGTGATGGGTTTCCCAGACCTTAATGTGATGCGTGCTGCAGAGCGCCTAGTGAGGGAGCACCAAGCCAAGTTCTCTCAAGACATCAGCATTCTACAACAGGTAGACTGTTTCGTTTCTTTCCACCTCATTATTCAAATTACAGCAACTCATTTTTCACATAAAGTATCTAATTACACTGGAGGAATGTTTATACATTTGCTTGTTCCAAGATGAAAAACATCAATAAAATAAACCAATCCCATGACATTAAGGGAACCCTATTTTCCTCTCTCGCACTCTCTCTCTGCAGCGCCAGACCATCGAGATAATTCATATCACCAAGGTGACCTACAAGTGGAAGGGAGACACACATTTCCTTTGTCTATGGGAATGAGTTTAAAGCCAGTGCTGATGACTATACAGATACCTGGTGCTGCACAATACTTTAATGTGTGGCCCTGTACGGCTCAGTCGGTAGAGCATGACGCTTGCAACACCAGGATTGTTAGTTCGAACCCCCCATATGTAAAAAAATAATAGTACTTGCATGACTGTACATCGCTGTGGATAAAAGTGGCTGGTGTAATGGATGGCTTTGATTATATTGAATATGTCTGTCTTCCACAGGGAAGGTGATTGTATGGTAGTTTATTGTTTGCTAAACTTGATAGTAATTCAACTTATGCAGTGAATGCTTTGGATATTGTATTTTCCACTTTAGAAGTATATGCTCGACTCCCGTGGTCATCCGTACACTAAGCGCTATGTACAGTGCATTCGGAAAGTATTCAGACCCCTTCACTTTTACCACATGTATATAAGGTATTTTTTTTAAATTTTTTTTTGTAATACATTTGCAAACATAAAAATAAATCTGTTTTCGCTTTGTCATTATGGGGTATGGTGTGTAGATTGATGAGGGGAACATTTTAATTTAATCCATTTTAGAATAAGGCTGTAACAAAATGTGGAAAAAGTGAAGGTGTCTGAATACTTTCCGAATGCACTGTATGCAGTAGGAAGTAGCTTATATAGGCTCCTGAGTGGCGCAGTGGTCTAAGGCACTGCATCACTGTGCCACTAGAGATCCTGGTTCGAATCCAGGCTCTGTCGCAGCCGGCCGCGACCGGGAGACTCATGGGCGGCGCACAATTGGCCCAGCGTCGTCCAGGGTAGGGGAGGGAATGGCCGGCAGGGATGTAGCTCAGTTGATAGAGCATGGCGTTTGCAACGTCAGGGTTGTGGGTTCGATTCCCACGGGTTGCCAGTATAAAAAAAAAAAAAAGGTATTCACTAACTGTAAGTCGCTCTGGATAAGAGCGTCTGCTAAATGACGTAAATGTAAATGTTATAAACTGTACATTACTCAAGTGTTATAGCGATTGTGTATAAATGGGGTCTGATTGTTGGAGTGTGCCCCTGGCTGTCCTAAGAATTGTGCCATCTGGTTTGCTTAATATAAGGAATTAGATTTATAGCATTTACTTTAACTTTTGATACTTAAGTACATTTTAAACCAGATACTTGTAGACTTTTACTAAAGTAATATTTTACTGGGTGACTTTCACTTTTACTTGAGCCATTTTCTTTAAGGTTTCTTTACTTTAACTCAAGTATGACAAATGAGTACTTTCTCCACCTCTGGACAGATACTCTTTCTGGATCAGCACATCTTTGTTGTGTCACAATATTACATCCTACATTATGCATAAGTAACTACTTTTAATCAGATATAGCTGAAGATGGAGACAAGTGTACAAGTCATTGATGTGTAATTCCTTCCACAATTCACAGTCACTTTGTGATGCCAACCATTAGGTATTTGCCAACCAGAAACACAATTCATCTTTGTTTTTTAATCTAAATTATTGATGGTGCCGGCTGTTGTTCTTCAGAAACATGGATTTCCAAAGCCAACATGATCTTGGAGTGCCTTGATCTCACAAAGAACTGCCTCTTTCTGTAGGTTCAACTGTGAAATAAAAGTAAATTACTTCATTAAATGCATATACATATAGATAACATTGTTTTGAAACAATTCAGAGAGGACCAACCTTCAGGGCATATTTATAGGACTGCTCTGCCTCAAGTCTTCTGCCCGTCTGAAACACAACCACGCAGCACATGCACACACACTTGAGGGTTAATACACATGGATTTCACCTGAACTATTTGTTTGTGTCAAAACCCTCAGTACACGGCCCTAAAGGAGCCAATTCTCTTCTGGCCCCCTTCACACACGATATACTGTACTGTCCTATAGCACTCAGTCCCACATTACAAGATCTCTTCACATCTCCTCAACCATTCCTGGGTGAAGTGACAACAGAGATCCTTTCATTATATATGTAATTCTATGGTAGTGACATCATACGGTTTGGATCATAGAAACAGAATCCATAGAAAGGGCTTGAAACCTCTAACCCTGGCAATCTGGCTGGCCATCATTGACTTGAATGGAGAGGACCGTTTTATGAATTCTATTTCTATGGACTGGACGCTCACCTGCAGAGAAACTAGAGACAGGTAACCCCACACCTCCGCGTTCCCGTTGTTCAGGGTGTTGGCCTCTGTCAGTGCATCCTCTGCTTCAGTCAGCTCCCCTAGCTATGTGTGGGCACGTACACGTACACACACACACACACAATCATTGCAACTAAGAATTTATTCCTAATTCCTAACTAGCCTGGTTAAATAAAGGTTAAATAAATAAAAATACACACACACACACAAATATTGCCTTGATACGTAATCAAAAAGAGTGGTATCATTTGAGAAGAGTAGATATGGTATTTTTACCCGGTAACAGGCAATCCCTAGTCCCAGCCAGGTGAGGCAGGAGGGGGTGCTCTTGCAGGCGCGCAGGTAAGTCATTTTCGCCCTCTGAAACTTAAGTGTCAATACATAAAGGGTTCAATTCAATCATGTTGGCACACATAGGTAGGTAGGAGCTGGAGACGTACACCTGATTGGTTGACGAAGTGCAGAGTCAGACTAAAAACAACAAATCTCCCACACGCCTAGTGATTCTTAATTACAGGGCGTTATTTAGAGTGTGTAACTTTAATATTTTTTACTTTTTAGAATAATGTATTGTTCTCCACCAAAACAACTATCAACTCCTGAACATTCCCCAGTAGTAAATAAAGAGTTCTCAGGTCACAGGTGAGGTGTGTGTGTGTAGCCCTCACCCCCCCTGTCCTGTCCATCTCACCTCCCCTTCCTGCAGGTAGATGGATCCCAGCCGCAGGTAGATGGGGTGTGTGTCTGTGGCATCCGTCACAAAGTCCAGGGTCCTCTCGTAACACTCCTGGGCCTTCCCAAACTCCCCAGTCATGTGGTGTATGTGCCCAAACAACGCCCATACATCTGGGTCCTATACGTGTCCAGAATATACATCTGGGTCCTATACGTGTCCAGAATATAAATCTGGGTCCTATACGTGTCCAGAATATACATCTGGGTCCTATACGTGTCCAGAATATAAATCTGGGTCCTATACGTGTCCAGAATATACATCTGGGTCCTATAAGTGTCTTGGTGGTCCTCTGTAGCTCAGCTGGTAGAGCACGGCGCTTGTAACGCCAAGGTAGTGGGTTCGATCCCCGGGACCACCCATACACACAAAAAAAAATGGATGCACGCATGACTATAAGTCGCTTTGGATAAAAGCGTCTGCTAAATGGCATATTATTATTATTATTATTATTGAATATACAATATAGCAATCAGGTCCTGTGTGGATCACTTAGTCAGAGCATGGTGTTAATAACACCAAGGTTGTGGGTTCAATTCCTGCAGGGATCACACTCTGCTAATGTGCTAGCCATTTGATTCCTGTATGGAATAATATATAAATTTAGAAGCATCAGATTATCATCAGATTGCTGCAAAACCAATTTCCCTTTCAAACAATAAAGTCAAAAGTTTAACTTGAAGGGCCAGACACAGATTAAACCTAGTTCAATTGAGAATTTCCATTGAGCATGATTTTTACTCCTGGACCAGGCTTAATTTGTGTCTGGGAAACGGGCTGGAAACGTCTGTTGGCGCTACCTGAAAGCTGTCGTTGAGCGCCTCCTTCAGGCTGGACTCGGCACTGCTGTACTCTGCCCTGAGCAGCTGCAGGCGGGCCAGGGCCAGGTGGTAGGAGCTGCTCAGACCCCCCTCTGGACACAAGAGCTCCTGGGCCAGCGCTCTCTGGGCCATCTACATTTACATTTTAGTCATTTAGCAGACGCTCTTAACCAGAGCGACTTACAGGAGCAATTAGGGTTAAGTGCCTTGCTCAAGGGCACATTAACGTCATTTAGCAGACGCTCTTAGCCAGAGCGACTCACAAATTGGTGCGTTCACCCTATAGCCATCTGTGGGCTATAGGGTGATTAGTTACATACGCACAATAAACCACATGGATCATCAGAGTCTCTTATCATCTCATCTGTAGCAAACACAGGACACAGAGGGAAGGCTGCCAGATATGTATCAGGAGTGATGCATAAATGCACACACACAATGTAAACAATGCACACACACACACACACACACACACACACACACACAATGTAAACAATGCAAACACACAACCAGAAGGGGTCAGACACAAATAAAAGGTGAGATTCAGAGCTGAGATCAGCGCCACGCAACTCTTACTTTTGATACAGAGCTATAGTGGCTTACCAGTCTAACATTCTGTATGGGTTTTTCACTCACTATCTTCTGTTGGATTGGGCCATGGTTTAGTGTATAAACATCAATAGGCTTCTATACAGCATGTGTGTCTAGTAGCTGAGTGTGTGTGTGTTGCTGACCTGTAGTGCGTTGTTCTGCAGCAGGAACTGCACTGTCTCCATATAGATTGTGGTGTTTAGTCTGGTGGGGGTTGCTAGATGTCGCATGGCGCTAGGTTCAGCCTCAGCACCTCCCTTGTATCCCTCCCCAGGCTTGCTGCCCTGGCAGCTCTGAGACCCGGTCACCACACTGGCTTCTGTGTCTCCCTCCACGTCTACATCCAACAAAAGTAGATCAGAGAAATGAGTTCGACCTCTTGCACAACAACACCTCACACTCACGAAGCATGGTCTTGGTTGAGCAAGGCCGACAATACTTCTAGTGTCAGGCAGGGTGGCCACTGCACGTTGCTCGATTTGGCACTCGGTTAACCAGCTAGCGATACTGTATCTGCTTAGTGCTCACCTGGCTTGATGGTGAGCGACTCACAGCTCGCCACCTCCTGCTCCTCCTCCCCCAGGGCTGGTGGCTCCACCCCTGTCTCCACCCTGCAGGGTGGGGTGACCACCAGGGCTGCCCTCAGCTGCTTGGTGGCCTCCAGGAAGGCCATCTCTGTCTGGATGGAGTTCTCCTGGCCCTCATTGAACAGGCCTGACCAGCGACCACACATAATGAGACCCAAACAGAACAAATACAGTCACCACCATTGGACTCTGCACATTTTTTGGAATTGACTCCCAATTGAAGAATCAGAATCGACTCCCAATATTTCTAAAGTCATACAGCCCTATTACCACACATTATTCTAGTATTGTAACACTGTATAAGTATTATGCCGTGTCATTAGAAAGTGCCAGGCATTTCCTTGTATTGAATTCTTGGGATTAGATGATGTTTGCTGACAAATGAAAGTAAGATGTCTGTTTGTGGTTGTGATTAATAGAGGCGTTTCCAGCCTGGTCCTAGATCAGTTTGTGCTGTAGAGTCAACTCCTAGGGTTGTTGTTACAAACATACAGTATCTGGGACCAGGTTAGCATCTCCCTCCCTGGCTCTCATCTCTTACCAAACAGAGTCCAGGCCACCACATTGGACGGGTCCACACACGTGGCTCCCTCAAAGAATGTCTCTGCCTCCTCGAGGCGTCCACCCATCTCTGCCAGGATACCACACATAAGCAAACTGCAGACAGACAGAGAATATCCAGAATATCGTTCAGTTAAACTTTATGTAATTCATTTATTTGCTCATAAAAGAAACAACATAAAAAAAATAAAAAAGATTGTGCAGGGGTGAAAAACCCCAGAAAGGGCTTGTAGGAGGGTCCTTGCCCTCATCCCATGAGAGGTATACATGCAAATGACAAGTTCCTGGTTTCACTGGATATAAGTTTTAAGTATGGACCTCTATTCCCCTAGCCTGGTTAAACCAGACTGAATGCTGAACCAGGTTACTATCCCCCTCCCTATTACCTGGGCAGGTGTGTCTGCTCCATGGACACAGCGTAGTGGAAGCACTCCTCAGCCTTCTGGTAGTCAGCCGTCAGCATGTAGAACACCCCGTAGTCAAACCAGTGGGCTGGGTCGCTACGGTCACGGGTCAGCTGCTGCACAAACAAACCAAGCTCACTAAAAGGGTGAAATGTCCATTGTTATGATGTTTTGTCCCTCCCGTCACAACTAAAGGTCCAATGGTTGAAAACATTCAAGAGCTTTTTCACAGGCACACTAGTGACGGCAGCACAAGGGTGTGGTGCAGACAGTGTAACTACTCAGAATGTGATTAAGTTGAGTGCTTCAGCACCTCGCTTCGCCCAAACTGATCCCCTCAAACACTCAGTTTACCTCCTGGTAGTACTGGGCAGCTAGCTGGTAGTCCCCGTTGAGTTGGGCCTCCTTGGCAAAATGGATGAGCTGGGCACAGTCCACCAGGGGGCGAGGTTGAGTCTCCTGGGCATCCACTGACAATGTCTGGAGAGAGAAGAAGAGCAAGGCTGTTACGTATTTTTTTGTGATAGATTTTGTGGACACAAACGTTTAATTAATTAATGTTTCAACAAATATAGAAAATTACAAACAGAGCCCCATAAGGGATAGTTACGAAAACCCAACCCTAAGCAACAGTGACTAGAGTCTGGTTTCAACTATGGAAGAGGAACTACGTCATTACCTACGTCGATAAGAAAAATAAAAACAATCTGGGGACTCTCCCAACAAACCAAAGTTTACAGGCAAAACCTTTGCAGTGGTTTTAGTTAAGGTAGATGATGTAAACTAGCCACTTGCGAAATGCACTCATTAAAACAATTACCTCTGCGTGATCTCCATCTAGCTAGCTACTATTTTGTATTTTATTAAAGCGGATAAAGTAGTGACGTAGTTCCTCTATGCCAAAAGAGTCCATCATTGAAACCAGACCCTAGTCATGTTTTTGCCTGTGTTCGTGTTTAAGGGTCTGCACAAGGGAAGGGAAAAGGGAAGAACAGAATATGCGGAAATCCATGTAAAGAAAGAGCTGGGCATGTACACTACCAGTCAAAAGTTTGGACACACCAACTCATTCAAGGGTTTTTCTTTATTTGTACTATTTTTTATATTGTAGAATAATAGTGAAGATATCAAAACTATGAAATAACATATATGGAATCATGTAGTAACCAAAAAAGTGTTAAATTTGATTGCCAAGAGTGTGCAAAGCTGTCATCAAGGCATTCTCTCAACCAGCTTCAGAGGTAGTTACCTGCAATGCATTTCAATTAACTGGTGTGCCTTCTTAAAAGTTAATTTATGGAACTTCTTTCCTTCTTAATGCATTTGAGCCAATCAGTTGTGTTGTGACAAGGTAGATAGCCCTATTTGGTAAAAGACCAAGTCCATATTGTGGCAAGAACAGCTCAAATAAGCAAAGAGAAACGACAGTCCATCATTACTTTAAGACATGAAGGTCAGTCAATACGGAACATTGTGCAGCGCTATGATGAACATCAAGCGCTATGATGAAACTGGATCTCACAAGGACCACCACAGGAATGGAAGACCCAGAGTTACCTCTGCTGCAGAGGATAAGTTCATTAGAGTTACCAGCCTCAGAAATTGCAGCCCAAATAAATGCTTCACAGAGTTCAAGTCACAGACACATCTCAACATCAATTGTTCAGAGGGGACTGTGTGAATCAGGCCTTCATGGTCGAATTGCTGCAAAGAAACCATTACTAAAGGACACCAATAAGAAGAAGAGACCTGCTTGGGCCAAGAAACATGAGCAATGGACATTAGACCGGTGGAAATGTCTCCTTTGGTCTGGAGTCCAAATTGGAGATTTTTGGTTCCAACCGCCGTGTCTTTGTGAGACGCGGTGTGGGTGAATGGATGATCTCTGCATGTGTAGTTCCCATCGTAAAGCATGGTGTAGGAGGTGTTATGGTGTGGGGGTGCTTTGCTGGTGACACTGTCTGTGATTTATTTAGAATTCAAGGCACACTTAACCAGCATGGCTACCACAGCATTCTGCAGCAATACGCCATCCCATCTGGTTTGGGCTTAGTGGGACTATCATTTGTTTTTCAACAGGACAATGACCCAACACACCTCCAGGCTGTGTAAGGGCTATTCTACCAAGAAGGAGAGTGATGGAGTGCTGCATCAGATGACCTGGCCTCCACAATTCCCCAACCTCAACCCAATTGAGATGGTTTGGGATGAGTCGGACGGCAGAGTGAAGGAAAAGCAGCCAACAAGTGCTCAGCATATGTGGGAATTCCTTCAAGACTGTTGGAAAAGCATTCCAGGTGAAGCTGGTTGAGAGAATGCCAAGAGAGTGCAAAGCTGTCATCAAGGCAAAGGGTGGCTATTTGAAGAATCTCAATATAAAATATATTTTTGGTTACTACATGATTCCATATGTGTTATTTCATTGTTTTGATGTCTTCACTATTATTCTACAATGTAGAAAATAGTAAAAATAAAGAAAAACCCTTGAATGAGTAGGTGTGACCAAACTTTTGACTGCTACTGTAAATGTATGTATGGTGGGACTGGGAAGGGTGAGCACGGGTGTGTGTGCGCAATGTGCATGCATTCCTGCGCTGGTGTGTGTGTGGACGTGTTTAACTATACTTGTGGGGATTTTGCATGTGTCTTGCCTTATTGAGGGCGATGTGCATCTCGTCCACCAGGAACACATAGAGCTGGCTGAGGAAGGCCTGCAGCTGCTCAGGATCTGAGAAGGCCTCGGTCCGCAGCATCTTCTCTCTCACGATACGCACCACAGAGTACTGACCATGACATGGCAGCAGAAACATCACCAGAGAGTACTAACCATGACATGGCAGCAGAAACATCACCACAGAGTACTAACCATGACATGGCAGCAGAAACATCACCACAGAGTACTGTCCATGACATGGCAGCAGGAACATCACCACAGAGTACTGCCATGACATGGCAGCAGAAACATCACCACAGAGTACTGCCATGACATGGCAGCAGAAACATCGCCACAGATGTATATTGTTAGTCTTATTATACATCCCACTTCTGAGATTCTATGAAAAACAATTGTTTATGAATAACATACAAGGGGAAACATCTGACACCGTTGGATTGTCTTCTCAAAAAGACTTAAAAAGGGACAACGGAGCTAGCCTGGTCCAATTTGGCAAGACAGCACAAACAGATCTGGGACCAGGATACTAGGGATCCAGTTGATCCTTCTCTAAATCTATAATACATTGTAAGGAACCAGCCTCAGATGAGAAGAACAACAAGCAGACTGGCTTGTTTACCAGACTTTAGGAGATAAGCACCAGCTGGCTACTGGTTAGCCCTGACCCCACTGTCTAAAAGCAGCTATTAAGCCCTCATGCAACTGTCATTCTCAACATTTTCCTTTACCCATTTCCCTAACCAGGATCATATTCATTAGGGTACACCATAGCAAAATGTTTTGCAACGGAAAACAAAAACAACTGTTTCTTAAGTTCAGGTAGTCTCTCCCTGTTTCAGTCAGTCAGTTCAGGTAGTCTCTCCCTGTTTCAGTCAGTCAGTTCAGGTAGTCTCTCCCTGTTTCAGTCAGTCAGTTCAGGTAGTTTCTCCCTGTTTCAGTCAGTCAGTTCAGGTAGTCTCTCCCTGTTTCAGCCAGTCAGTTCAGGTAGTCTCTCCCTGTTTCAGTCAGTCAGTTCAGGTAGTCTCTCCCTGTTTCAGTCAGTCAGTTCAGGTAGTCTCTCCCTGTTTCAGTCAGTCAGTTCAGGTAGTCTCTCCCTGTTTCAGTCAGTCAGTTCAGGTAGTCTCTCCCTGTTTCAGTCAGTCAGTTCAGGTAGTCTCTCCCTGTTTCAGTCAGTCAGTTCAGGTAGTCTCTCCCTGTTTCAGTCAGTCAGTTCAGGTAGTCTCTCCCTGTTTCAGTCAGTCAGTTCAAGTAGTCTCTCCCTGTTTCAGTCAGTCAGTTCAGGTAGTCTCTCCCTGTTTCAGTCAGTCAGTTCAGGTAGTCTCTCCCTGTTTCAGTCAGTCAGTTCAGGTAGTCTCTCCCTGTTTCAGTCAGTCAGTTCAGGTAGTCTCTCCCTGTTTCAGCCAGTCAGTTCAGGTAGTCTCTCCCTGTTTCAGCCAGTCAGTTCTGGTAGTCTCTCCCTGTTTCAGCAGTCAGTTCGGTAGTCTCTCCCTGTTTCAGTCAGTCAGTTCAGGTAGTCTCTCCCTGTTTCAGTCAGTCAGTTCAGGTAGTCTCTCCCTGTTTCAGTCAGTCAGTTCAGGTAGTCTCTCCCTGTTTCAGTCAGTCAGTTCAGGTAGTCTCTCCCTGTTTCAGTCAGTCAGTTCAGGTAGTCTCTCCCTGTTTCAGTCAGTCAGTTTTTGTTGGTGGCTAATAAATGCGACCCAGCCCTTTCTCACCTTAATCTGCTCCTTGAAAGCAAAGTACTTCCCAGAATAGTTGAGTTCTCCCAGGAGCTTGGTCTTGCGCTGCTCCTGGCTGGTTGGGTCCAGAGGCTTCTCCCCGGGCAGGAAGGCAGGCCCGAACAGCTGCTGGTACTGCTCCAACACCTGGCCTGCCACACTGGCTATCTGGGCCTGGTACTCCTGCACAGCCTGGTACAGCAGGATAGAAGGAAGGAAGTAGGGAAGCAAGGAAGGAAGTAATGGCTAAAAATATACTTGTTTTCAAACAATTATGACATTTGGCAACGACTTACATTCCCAGAGCCCGTTATAAGGTTAAGTGTGACGTTGGTTTGGGATGTGCTGGACTGCAGGAGACAGCAGCTATCATCACTGGAAACCACTGGCATTTTATGCCTCTACTTACCTTTGACTGTGTACACAAATCTAGATTATGGCCACAAGATGACAATCACTCAGAGTGAATGTAATGATTGAGGGAAGTGTAATCATCAGACCATGTTATTGGATTGCATTTGTGGAATGTGTGTGTGTGATGGTTTACTCTCTCTGCTCCAGCAGGTCTGCGAGGCAAGGGAGCTCTAGCAGGTATCAGCTCCATCACCCTTTCAACAGAAATGCATAGAAAACGTGGTAAACCATAAAACAATGTTACAACAACGTTACTAGGATATTACTACAACTGCTACATCTTTTCAAACAAACCATCCCTTTTTCTTCCCATTCTAATCTATACTACTGCAGTACTTCCACTCAATTACTTCAGACTTAAATGTTTATCTCTGAGGCCATTCCACATATTTGATTAAAGTTGAACAAACGTCACGTTACCTTTTGGCTAACTCTTCCGGTGATCTCTTTGGCACCAGCGACTTCTCAAAAGCGATTTCAATGATGATGTAGGTTCTGGAATCTGCATACATCTAAGTTCAAGGTTCAAGTTAATTTGCCATATGCAATAGATTCATTGGAAATGGTACACAGAGATGATAGGTACTTCCTATAGAGGGCGGAAGGTACCCTTGGGGATAAGAGCGTTGGGCCAGTAACCGAAAGGTCGCTAGTTCGACTAGGTGAAAAATGTCCATGTGCCCTTGAGCAAGGCACTTCACCCTAATTGCTCCTGTAAGTCGCTCTGGATAAGAGCGTCTGCTAAATGACTACATTATAAAATGTATACATGACCCCTAGATTTGATATTGTTTATTGGTTCACAGAACCCCAACTCACCTGGCCCTCTATGTTCACTTGTTGCTGCTGTTCAGGTTCAACCAGCGTCACACTATCAGTGCCAACGGGTGCCGACTTCCCCTGTGTCCCGGGCTGAAATAAAACAAATCACTATCTCCTTCTCTCCCACCAAGCAAGGGAAACAAGCACAGTATACTTCTCTTCTAGTTCACTCTTTACGAGTTAGAATATTGCCATGAGACATTGCAGAAAGACGAAGTTGGAAATACACAATAGTAAACCACCTGTTTTCAAATGATACCCTGGTTCAACCATGCTACAGTTCAAAACAGTTATTAAACAGTTATTTTCTAGGTGTATGTGGGCATGTGTAGGCAACACTTCTAGGCAACGCTTGTGTATGAACCACGAATAAGAGGGGGTTGTTTGTGTGGATGGATTCATGTACCTGTACGTACCTGTGCATGCCTGCATGTATGTGTACTATATGAACATGTATGTGTACTTTGTGCACTTTGTGTTTGTGTATCCGTGGGCATGCTTGTGTGAGTGTGTGTGTGTGCACTTGTGGAAGCATGCGTGTGTGGGTGCGTGCCTGTGTGTAGGAGCGTGTTATTTGTCTGGCCGTGCCAGATGCTCAGTTGGTGGGGTGGCTGTGTACATGTGTGTGTGTTTACGTGTATGTGTGTGTATGCAAATGAATGTGTGTGTGTGTGTGTTCGCCGCTCCTTCTGCTGATGGACCACGGGGGGCTGTAGTGAGGGGCCAGATGAGCTAACAGCTAACGAGATGATTCACCGCTCTCTGACGAAGCTGGCAAGCTGCTGCCATTAACGCTAATTGCTTTGGGAAGCGCTCCTGTTGCTGCCGACCCACAATTAAATCAGAGAGGAAATCAGGGTCTCTGATCTAAGATGCTCTGTGGGAGACCGCAGCTGGCCTATCAACAGGATGTCACTGAATGCTATTGAGACCTTTTACAAAGAAGTCATATCCTGGCTCTATCTCATTTTGTTTTTCTGCGATTCCTTGCATCCTATCTCCTTGCCTCCTTCTCAACCATATTGGAGGAGAAGGTCAAAGGTCCCTCCCGTCTCACCTTGTTCTCCAATGTGTTCTGAGACAGAGGCGAGGAGAGAGGGTTCTAGGCATCAAGGAAAGATGAATCGAGAAAGAGGCACTGTCTGAGACGCAGAGCCCCATCATGGTCAAAAAGGCAGTAAGCCAGTCACTCACCCTTTTGGGCGATTCCTTGGTGTCCTTCCCGCCCTTGTGGCCGCCGTCGAACATCTTACTAGGGGCCGCCTTACAGGAGCCTACGGAGGAGAGGGCCCTACCTCGGCCCTGGGTGGCCGAAGCCCTGATACTCTCTCTCAGGACACTGATGTTTCTCTTAGCCTATCAAACACAATACAAGGGTCATGTTCATTAGGGCACACCGTAACAAATCTTTTTGCAACGGTAAACGAAAATGACGGTTCTTATTGGACCAAGTCCATGTAATCGTCCCTCCTATTTCAGTCCGTTTTGTTCCGTTTGTCGCCTTATGAACATGACCCAGGTCACACATAATAACACCAGATAATCACTCAGCAGGGGGTGGTTTGGTTCCATGTTTCCAAGGTAATGCCAAAACTCACATTCAGCACCTCAGGTGGAGCACGAGAGCATTAGAGCACATCACAGGAGGTTGATGGCACCTTCATTGGGGAGGGCGGGCTCGCGGTAATGGCTGGAGCGGAATCAGTGGAATGGTATCAAATACATCAAATATGGTTTGATGCCATTCCATTTGCTCCGTTCCGGCCATTATTATGAGCCGTCCTCCACTCAGCAGCCTCCACTGGAGCACATTAGAGTGATCCTATTGGCTTCAAGGGTGTAATGAGAGAGGGATGAGACCGAGAGATAACAATTAACAATCCAAACTATGGCACAACAAGCCAATTAGCAATGAGTAATAACGATACCCGCAGGGATACAGTGCTGGCACAGCTGTGAAATAATAAAAGATGTGTCAAATGTGAGTTGTGGTTAACTGATGTATCTCATATTTCCACATTTGTTATTTACTGCGCTAACACAAACTATTTGTTTTAAGATTGTAATAACTTGGACCATCAACTGTTTTGATTCTCTATTTTAGGACACTTGAGGGTATCATAGAAAAATGTTTTAAGGGCAATAAAGTGTTATCTATCTACATAGGAAATGTACTAAAACAAACCAAATGTCCTCAGCAGCATGATACTTTGAACGAAACTCCAACTGACAGAGAGAGAGAGCGACAAGGACATGAAAACTGGCACGGAATGGAATGATGATAATCTGCTGTGTCTCAGAATGAATTAGTCAACATGGCTGCATCTGTTCTGGTAGTCTGTTCTGCAAGTCTGTTTCATTTCTCCACTCATTTCAGTCTCACACACACACACAACTAAAGCAGTTCTGTAATAATCATGAGTGACAAATTAGTGTTGACCGTTCCTCCACTCCTCCCACTGCCAGCCTATCTCACCTTAGCCTTGCAATACCAAACCTGTCAACACCATATTCTAAAGAAACCTTGAATGGCTGTAGTCGAAGATACTCTCACCTTGACCAGTAGGTCAGAGTCGTAGAAGGGGTAAAGCCGGTATGCCCCACGGATACGCCTTGCCCCGGGGTACAACAGGGGCGCCATGTCCACGTATGCAACTCCATGGAAGGAGAGTTGGGTCTCATCCTCACCCTGTTGAACAGACACACCCACACACACACAGACAGACAAATACAAAGGCAGTTCAAACAATCATTAGTAAGGATATTAATAATAATGGCCATGAGTGATTTAATCAGATCCTGTACAGGAGAAATTCAGTGTCTTACTCCCTTGTCTTTGCCAGCCTTCCCTCCCTTAGTGGCTCCAACCTGTGGTGACCTCATGACCTCTACTGGCCACAGTCTGCTCTCTGCTATCCTACGGGTCAGACTGAGAGAGGAGGATAAAACATAGATAAAGAATTCAATTAAATTCCATTAAATTCAATAAAACGTTATTGTTCCCAAAGGGCAATTTGGTAGTTGGCTTATATAAGTCAACTTTTTTCAATTAAATAAAAACTTTATTGAGGATACTGTAGCTTCATACCCTCTCTATATAAAGTACCAGTCAAAAGTTTGGACACACCTACTTATTCAAGGGTTTTTCTTTATTTTTTTAACTATTTTCTACATTGTAGAATAATAGTGAAGACATCAGAACTATGAAATAAGACATATGGAATCATGTAGTAACCAAAAAAGTGTTAAACAAATCAAAATATATTTTTAAGTAGTCACCCTTTGCCTTGATGACAGCTTTGCACACTCTTGGCATTCTCTCAACCAGCTTAATGAGGTAGTCACCTGGAATGCATTTCAATTAACAGGTGTGTCTTGTTAAAAGTCAATTTGTGGAATTTATTTCCTTCTTAATGCGTTTGAGCCAATCAGTTGTGTTGTGACAAGGTAGGGGTGGTATACAGAAGATAGCCCTATTTGGTAAAATACAAAGTCCATATTATGGCAAAAACAGCTCAAATAAGCAAAGAAAACCGACAGTCCATCATTACTTTAAGACATGAAGGTCAGTCAATATGGATAATTTCAAGAACTTTTAAAATGTCTTCCTAGTGCAGTCGCAAAAACCATCAAGCGCTATGATGAAACTGGCTCTCATGAGGACCGCCACAGGAAAGGAAGACCCAGAGTTACCTCTGCTGCAGAGGATAAGTTAATTAGAGTTAACTGCACCTCAGATTGCAGCCCAAATAAATGCTTCACAGAGTTAAAGTAACAGACATGTCAACATCAACTGTTCAGAGGAGACTGCGTGAATCAGGCCTTCATGGTCGAATTGCTGAAAATAAACCACTACTAAAGGACAATAAGAAGAGACTTGTTTGGGCCAAGAAACACGAGCAATGGACATTAGACCGGTGGAAATCTGTCGAAATTTTAGATTTTTGGTTAGAACAACCATGTCTTTGTGTGACGCAGAGTAGGTGAACGGATGATCTCCGCCTGTGTGGTTCCCACCGTGAAGCATGGAGGAGGAGGTGTGGGGGTGCTTTGCTGGTGACACTGACCGTGATTTATTTAGAATTCAAGGCACACTTAACCAGCATGGCTACCGCAGCATTCTGCAGCGATCCGCCATCCAATCTGGTTTGCGCTTAGTGGGACTGTAATTTGTTTTTCCACAGGACAATTACCCAAAACACACCTCCAGGATGGATTGCTGCATCAGATGACTTGGCCTCCACAATCAACTGACCTCAACCCAATTTAGATGGTTTGGGATGAGTTGGACTGCAGAGTGAAGGAAAAGCAGCCAACAAGTGCTCAGCATATGTGGGAACTCCTTCAAGACTGTTGGAAAAGCATTCCTCATTAAGCTGGTTGAAAGAATGCCAAGAGTGTGTAAAGCTGTCATCAAGGCAAAGGGTGGCTACTTTGAAGAATCTCAAATATATTTTGATTTGTTTAACACTTTCTTGGTCACTACATGATTCCATATGTGTTATTTCATAGTTTTGATGTCTTCACTATTATTCTACAATGTAGAAAATAATAAAAATAAAGAAAAACCCTTGAATGAGTAGGTGTGTCCAATCTTTTGACTGGTACTGTATATTTGTTACAGATAAAATCCAAGATGTGTGTGTTTAAAAGCAGGATTCAATAGAAGCAGATCATTTGCAGTGAGGTGGTGTGGTGTATCTGTCTCACCAGGCTGCACCATCTGCATCCAGAAAGCAACGACGCTCTGTGTCCCAGCTCACTCTCTTCTTATTGGTCTCCGCTTCATTCCGGAAATCCCTGTCCTGGAAAACACAGGAAGAGATGAAGGGAAGAGGTCCATACATTACACATAATGTATTGGTCAAACCACTGAGAGGGCAAACAACATTGACTCAATGACAATAATTGAAAATACGACAGAACAATAAAAACATTGTATTCATTTCGTATTAACGTGAGATCATGCAGCAGTACTAGAGATGGTTTACCTACCATAATACTAGAGTACAAGTAGGCTAGAGTACCTCTATGCTGGTGAGATCCCCATCCTCCATCTCAATGGGCTCTGCCTCTATGGAGACACCTGGTATGAATTGAGCTCCAGAAGCCAACAGGGGACCCAGGGGCCACTTCCTGGGTCTTCCCATGGGTTCAATCTCCCCGCCCACTTTCAGCAGCCCATTGGAGAACAACAGAACCTGCTCTTTCTGGGGGGAAACAAGAAATGTGTCAGGTATAAGTTAAAGTTAAATGTCATATGACATTAGGGATTGTGGGTTCATCTATGTGTGTGTATTATATCCTTGAATTACTGTCAATAGTTCAAAGTTGATAACATTTCCACAGTAAAAATGCTTTAGTGCATTAGCATGGGACTTGGTCTGTACTATTCCAGTGTGATCGTGAACTGGGGCGGCAGGTAGCTTAGTGGTTAAGAGCGTTGTGCCAGTAACCGAAAGGTTGCTGGTTCTAATCCCCGAGCCGACTAGGTGAAAAATCTGTCGATGTGCCCTTGAGCAAGGCACTTAACCCTAATTGCTCCTGTAAGTCGCTCTGGATAAGAGCGTCTGCTAAATGACTAAAATGTAAATGTAACTAACCTATAGAGTTGTCATTCTATTCAATAGCAAATATTTGCCAAAATCCATGAGAAGAAGAGGAATTTCACTTTACTTCCTGTATTGACTCAATTGAAATGGAATTGACCCCAACCCTGATGGCAACATAGGTATTTTATCTCTCACCTCTGCAGTGAGGGGAACCTGCAGGGCAGCCACATAGCTGCAGGGAGGACCAGATCCAGAGACAGGGTTCCACACCTCCGGTACAGAGTAAGCTGTCTCCACAGTAACCTTCAGCAGGTTGGATTCAGACAGCTGGACGCCGGATAGCAGAGGCTCGGGAACACAGACGGTCACGTCTAGAGATGGCTGGGTGCCAGGCAGAGAGGAGGGGGATGTCAATTACAAACAAACATAGAGTACACACACACACACAAACACACAGTCACGTATGAACACACACACAAACACACAGTCAGGTATGAACACACACACACACAAACCCACAGTCACGTATGAACACACACACAAACCCACAGTCACATATGAACACACACACACACACAAACACACAGTCACGTATGAACAAACACACAGTCAGGCATGAACACACACACAAACACACAGTCACATATGAACACACTCACACACACACACACACACACACTCACACGAAGACACACAAAGTCTCTCGTGCTGGTTAGTCTTTACTCGTACCTTACAGCTGCCCTCCTGTGAGGCTGCATCCGCAGGTGAGCCAGGGGTTGGATGAAGTAGCACAGTGGATGAGAAGCTGACCTGACCTATTGAGGGTGAGAGAGAGAGGAATCAATTTAAATTTAAATTTTAACCATGAGTGAGGTTTTTTTGTCCCCGGAAGGTATTAAGTTAGATGGATACTTGATTGGATCTAATGTGTTGGTCTCTCACCATGCAAGAGAGGTATCAAGTCCACTATAGCTTGCCCTATAACTGCAGTCTTCTCCTCCTTCTGCTTCTTCTCCTTGGGAAGGATCTCAATCACTGTCACTAAATGACAACAACAACACAACAGAGAGGATTAATGTGATAAGCAACCGTCAATTGGTGAACGAGTGAGACACGGTACAATGAGGATATCGATCAATCCTCAAGATGAATAGTGGCTATAACATCTGAAATAGGCAGCATACATCATAATAATGGATTAGTTGGTAGTAGCTCACATATGACAGGTTTGTGTGCCATGTCATCTAATGTGTGGCCAGCATCTGAGCACTCAAAGCTGCAGGTGAAGTTGTAATCCACGCCCTGATCCACAGCAGCATCTAGCTTCTGGGAATCTCCCAGCATGATGCCATTGAACTCAGCCCTCACATAGTTCAGGAGGGACTCAGCCTTGTTGCCCCTCTGGAAGTGAAAAAGAGACACCATTTTGTTTGAGGTGTAATTATTATAATACTAACGTTAGCTAGCTAGCTAACTGAATTTGATCAATGGAGCTCAGTCACTGTCGGGGGTGCACATTTTTGTCATAGCCTAACACACCTGATTCAACTGATCAATTAAGTTAGTCATCAAACTCTTGATTAACTGAATCAGTTGTGCTTCCTGAGCTAGGACAAAACAGTGCACAACTATGGATCCCCAGAACCCGAGCATTTAAAACACCGAGTTAGCCATTTGCAAGCTGCTACTACTGACCTTTCTTATTATACCTCAGTGATACTACTGCAAAGCAGATAGGGATGCAAGCTTACCAGGTTATTTCCACGTAGTACAGTTATTTTCACGGGTACTGCTTTGTCTCCCGCACCACGAAATTGTTCCATTATGGTTTTGTAAATCAGAGTGAGTAAAAGTCAAATGTTTGTTGATTGTTCCGATAACTATAATTTCCCCCATGCACTGCAGCAGGTGAATACACCAGTGTCCCCGTTTCCATAGTAGCGAGTCTGAATATCGCGAGATGTTGAGGTTATTGTTGTTGGCGTAACTTGGATTTGGAGTTGGTGGAGAAAGTCGTGTGTGCGATTTTTTACGTGAATAATATGTATGTTGTCCAGTATTTAAAGGATTACATAGTAGACGTTGTATATGAACGCCAGACAATGTTGAATGGGTTTTGTGACAGTCGTTTGGGACTTTGCAAATATACTCTGTTTTGCCAGTTAGCTCGCTAGCGTAACTTCCGCTTTTTGCTTTCGCTGGTCAGTACAAAAACAGACACGTGACAGCTTGCAAGTGTCACACTTTCTCAAGATGCTGCTTTCAAATGTGTATGTGATGCATTTAAGTTTGCAGTGTGCGTATGTTTTCATTTAGCTATCTAACGTTAGCTAGACTAGGGGTGTATTCACTAGGACCCAAACGGAACGAAACGGAGAGGGACCTACCTGAATGTGTCCATATATAAAATGTTGTTTTCGCTGTAAGAAGTTTTCCGTTTGGAGTAAAAGTTTTCCGTTGCAAAACGTTTTGGACTAATGATTACAACCCAGATATAGTAGCGCTGTTTTGTTCGCGCATGTTCACTGTGAACTTTAGTCTATTGTGTATAACAGTGCCAGGCAGCATCATGTCACTGCTTAGCCTTGTGGATGAAGCCATCAAGTTGTGCGAAGTAGAGGAGACCAAGATAAACGAGAACATCATTCAATACAGGGAGATACTGCGCTCTTTGTAAGTACAATAACACCTCCACGTTCATTGCTATCTGTTACGCTAATGGTCTAAAGTTGTTCTGTATGAGTACGTAACTAGATAGGCCTATGTTTTAACTTGCTTGGCATCTGATCATTCACCAGGAGACCACAGCAGGAAGACTGCAAGGAAATAAAACTGACAGATGATGTTGAAATGGGTATGATGATGATCCACAATCTGTTATTTACTCTGAAAGCCCAGTGTACTAGTAGTAACTGGATATGGTCATATTTGTTTTAGTTTTTTGTATCTACATTGTCAGCATATTTGTATCTTTCTGTGTTTAGACCCAGATGTCCAACCGGAGGAGAGACAGGAGATGGAACTGCTGAATCGAATGCTGGAGAAGGCCCTCAGAGTTCGTGTTGGCACAGCACCCCAAAAAGACCCTCAGAACTGTACAGGACCAAAGAAAGAACCAGTGGACACTACACATTGCAAAGGAAGGGCTCTGACCCCAGGTGGCACCAAAGGGAATAGAAATGGCTTTAAAACTACCTCCAGACCCATCACGGTGGACAAAAAAGAGTCCAGGAAGTCTTCTGCGTCCCATCTCTATAGGGATGGAAGGGGGAGGATGGGTCATCTGGTAGGTCATTCAGGACAAGGCAGGGCTAGCATGATCAGAGGCTCTGTCCAGATCCAGAAACAATCTGTCGTGTCACCAAAGGGGTTTCATCCCCAGTCCTCTGGGAAAGCAGTGAAGCAGGCTGGTCCTCCAGGTCCTGTGTCTAATGATCAGGGTCAATCACCACAGGCCTCATCAGCACATCATCAGGTTGAGGTGTCCCACAGGTGCATGTCAGCTGCAGCCACTTCCTTCCAGCCCCCTAACGAGGACCCGGTGTCTGTTTCACACATGGAGGGGACGCCAAAAGCACATGTCGTTTCACCTCCACAGAATGGGTCTGTGACAGTGTCAAATTCCTTTGCCAAAAGCAACATAGCAAATGAAAATGGAACTTCAAAGTACCATACTGATATCGTTAAGAAGTTGGCTAGAAGCAACTCAACATTGGTGATATAATATGACTAGTCTGTTGTGACACTAAGTAGTTTGAGTGTGGTTTAATGACACTACATGTTTGATTGTGTTTTTGTGGCAGGGTTCCCTCCCAGTTGTTAACTAAATGGATCAGTCTAAGGACCAAACAAACCAGGTCAGCCAGTGAATCATATCTTCTGTGGATGAAATGTCTGACTCATATCATCCTCCATGTAACAGTTTCCATCCAGTGTTCTGTAATGCATGCATAATTTTCTCTAATGTATTATGTGCAAAAGGGTCAATTCCCTGTGCACAGCAGTGTGTCCAGGTGCATGTGCTATGGTTCTGGCAGGAACAGCTAACTAGGTATCCAAAACAAATGTCCACAAAGTGATTTTTTTTTTTTTCTTCTACACGTCTTTTGCATACTCATTGATGTTGAGCTGTCTTTGGTTGGGAAACAAGAAGTAGGCTATACATGTAAACCACAGGAGGTTGGTGGCACCTTAATTGGGGAGGACGGGCTTGTGGTAATGGCTGGAGCAGAATCAGTGGAATGGTATCAAATAGATAAAACACATGGTTTGAAGCCATTCCATTTGCTCCGTTCTGGCCATTATTATGAGCCGTCCTCCCCTCAGCAGCCTCCGCTGATGTATACTTGTATACCACTGTATTGGTGGCTGGGACATTCATTTGACCCTTTCAGGGTTTTTTCTACCCTCAGGTTATGGGACAAGGTCCTGGCTCAACAATCCAAACCTGTGGCGGAGAGGAGTCACTTCATGGAGAGAGTGAAAGCCACTGTATCCTTCCTCAGATGAACTGAACATTTAACACCCACATATAGCTAAACCTGATTTAATGCACCCTCTTGCTTTACGTTAAATCTATGCATTAATGAGTAGTTACATAGTGTTTTAATAATATATCTTAGATGTGACATGGGACCTGCAGAGATATCAATCGTTCATTTCAACGAGTATAAACTCGTTACTAATTATCTCACTCCCACTCGTTCACACAGCCCATGTAAGAAAAATTAGCACGGCATCAAATTCAGTGTCTACCAGCGTTTCTCAAAATAACACACAGAAAATTCAATGTGTGTGCGCGTGCATATGAGTGTCTTCTAATATAATCTCCCAGAGTCTTGTCTGCTTGTTCTCCTTGACCCGTCCACTTATGGGTCAGTTCCCCAGAGAGTGGCCAACCAGTGGCAGCCCGGCCGACCCCGGGGCTCAGGTGGACAGACTGACACAGCTTTGCACGGACCTGAGTCATTGCTACCAAAGCGAGCGGCTGCTGCTGACTTGCCAGACCTTCAGAACCACTGGCACTGAGCCAGGTACCAGCCCAGCCAGAGGAGATGCAGAGGGGGGGTGGAAGAAGGGATGAGTAGCAGAAATTGTGGAGAACTAGTAAGAAATAGGAAATTACAGAAGTGGGGGGGAAGGGAGAGATGGAGAACTGGTAGGAGATTACAGAAGTGTGGGCGATGAGAAAACAAGAGTCTGGAGAAGGGGTCCATTTATCCAAAAACTAAGGATTTAGTTAGCTTAGAAATTAGAACGTTCAGTGTTAATAATTTTTCAGCTCATCACCTCTTAGTCCTCTGGACTCATTAAGTGCTGAACTTATTAATTCTGCTGAAGGCTTTAGCGTTAGCAATCATTTGACAGATCTGTTTTTATGCTACAGATAACAATTAATTACAGTAACTTCTAATGAGTAATGTAAAGCAATTAGATACAGCAAAACCTTTACATTTTTTATAGCACCATTACAATACATTTGAGATTGATTTGCATTGCGCTTTATCACTGCATTTGTTTAATTTCATGTCCAAATACTGAAGAGAGAGTAATTATTTGTCAATGTGTAGTAATAATAATGCTTAGCGCATGTCTGTTATATACACACACACAGTGAGGGAAAAAAGTTGGATCCCCTGCTGATTTTGAAAGTTTGCCCACTGACAAAGACATGATCAGTTTATAATTTTAATGGTAGGTTTATTTGAACAGTGAGAGACAGAATAACAAAACTAAAAATGCATGTCAAAAATGTTATAAATTGATTTGCATTTTAATGAGGGAAATAAGTATTTGACCCCCTCTCAATCAGAAAGATTTCTGGCTCCCAGGTGTCTTTTATACAGGTAACGAGCTGAGATTAGGAGCAGACACTTAAAGGGAGTGCTCCTAATCTCAGTTTGTTACCTGTATAAAAGACACCTGTCCACAGAAGCAATCAATCAATCAGATTCCAAACTCTCCACCATGGCCAAGGTCAAAGAGCTCTCCAAGGATGTCGGGACAAGATTGTAGACCTACACAAGGCTGGAATGGTCTACAAGACCATCGCCAAGCAGCTTGGTGAGAAGGTGACAATAGTTGGTGCGATTATTCGCAAATGGAAGAAAGACAAAAGAACTGTCAATCTCCCTCGGCATGGGGCTCCATGCAAGATCTCACCTTGTGGAGTTGCAATGATCATGAGAACGGTGAGGAATCAGCCCAGAACTACACGGGAGGATCTTGTCAATGATCTCAAGGCAGCTGGGACCATAGTCACCAAGAAAACAATTGGTAACACTATGCCGTGAAGGACTGAAATCCTGCAGCGCCCGCAAGGTCCCCCTGCTCAAGAAAGCACATATACAGGCCCGTCTGAAGTTTGCCAATGAACATCTGAATGATTCAGAGGAGAACTGGTTGAAAGTGTTGTGGTCAGATGAGACCAAAATGGAGCTCTTTGGCATCAACTCAACTCGCCGTGTTTGGAGGAGGAGGAATGCTGCCTATGACCCCAAGAACACCATCCCCACCGTCAAACATGGAGGTGGAAACATTATGCTTTGGGGGTATTTTTCTGCTAAGGGGACAGGACAACTTCACCGCATCAAAGGGACGATGGACGGGGCCTTGTACCTCCTTCCCTCAGCCAGGGCATTGAAAATGGGTCGTGGATGGGTATTCCAGCATGACAATGACCCAAAACACACGGCCAAGGCAACAAAGGAGTGGCTCAAGAAGAAGCACATTAAGGTCCCTGAGTGGCCTAGCCAGTCTCCAGACCTTAATCCCATAGGTCAAAATCCCAAATCTGTGGAGGGAGCTGAAGGTTTGAGTTGCCAAACGTCAGTCTCGAAACCTTAATGACTTGGAGAAGATCTGCAAAAAGGAGTGGGAGAAAATCCCTCCTGAGATGTGTGCAAACCTGGTGGCCAACTACAAGAAACGTCTGACCTCTGTGATTGCCAACAAGGGTTTTGCCACCAAGTACTAAGTCATGTTTTGCAGAGGGGTCAAATACTTATTTCCCTCATTAAAATGCAAATACATTTCTAACATTTTTGGCATGCGTTTTTCTGGATATATTTGTTATTCTGTCTCTCACTGTTCAAATAAACCTACCATTAAAATTATAGACTGATCATGTCTTTGTCAGTGGGCAAACGTACAAAATCAGCAGGGGATCAAATACTTTTTTCCCTCACTGTATGTGTGTATATACAGTGGGGGAAAAAAGTATTTAGTCAGCCACCATTTGTGCAAGTTCTCCCACTTAAAAAGATGAGAGAGGCCTGTAATTTTCATCATAGGTACACGTCAACTATGACAGACAAAATGAGGGGAAAAAAATCCAGAAAATCACATTGTAGGATTTTTTATGAATTTATTTGCAAATTATGGTGGAAAATAAGTATTTGGTCAATATCAAAAGTTTCTCAATACTTTGTTATATACCCTTTGTTGGCAATGACACAGGTCAAACGTTTTCTGTAAGTCTTCACAAGGTTTTCACACACTGTTGCTGGTATTTTGGCCCATTCCTCCATGCAGATCTTTTCTAGAGCAGTGATGTTTTGGGGCTGTCGCTGGGCAACACAGACTTTCAACTCCCTCCAAAGATTTTCTATGGGGTTGAGATCTGGAGACTGGCTAGGCCACTCCAGGACCTTGAAATGCTTCTTACGAAGCCACTCCTTCGTTGCCCGGGCGGTGTGTTTGGGATCATTGTCATGCCGAAAGACCCAGCCACGTTTCATCTTCAATGCCCTTGCTGATGGAAGGAGGTTTTCACTCAAAATCTCACGATACATGGCCCCATTCATTCTTTCCTTTACACGGATCAGTCGTCCTGGTCCCTTTGCAGAAAAACAGCCCCAAAGCATGATGTTTCCACCCCCATGCTTCACAGTAGGTATGGTGTTCTTTGGATGCAACTCAGCATTCTTTGTCCTCCAAACACGACGAGTTGAGTTTTTACCAAAAAGTTCTATTTTGGTTTCATCTGACCATATGACATTCTCCCAATCCTCTTCTGGATCATCCAAATGCACTCTAGCAAACTTCAGACGGGCCTGGACATGTACTGGCTTAAGCAGGGGGACACGTCTGGCACTGCAGGATTTGAGTCCCTGGCGGTGTAGTGTGTTACTGATGGTAGGCTTTGTTACTTTGGTCCCAGTTCTCTGCAGGTCATTCACTAGGTCCCCCCGTGTGGTTCTGGGATTTTTGCTCACCATTCTTGTGATCATTTTGACCCCACAGGGTGAGATCTTGCGTGGAGCCCCAGATCGAGGGAGATTATCAGTGGTCTTGTATGTCTTCCATTTCCTAATAATTGCTCCCACAGTTGATTTTTTGTTTCTGGTGTCCTTTGACAGCTCTTTGGTCTTGGCCATAGTGGAGTTTGGAGTGTGACTGTTTGAGGTTGTGGACAGGTGTCTTTTATACTGATAACAAGTTCAAACAGGTGCCATTAATACAGGTAACGAGTGGAGGACAGAGGAGCCTCTTAAAGAAGAAGTTACAGGTCTGTGAGAGGCAGAAATCTTGCTTGTTTGTAGGTGACCAAATACTTATTTTCCACCATAATTTGCAAATAAATTCATTAAAAATCCTACAATGTGATTTTCTGGAGAAAAAAAATCTAAATTTGTCTGTCATAGTTGACGTGTACCTATGATGAAAATTACAGGCCTCTCTCATCTTTTTAAGTGGGAGAACTTGCACAATTGGTGGCTGACTAAATACTTTTTTTCCCCACTGTATATGTGTATGTATATACTACCAGTCAAAAGTTTGGACACACCTACTCATTCAAGGGTTTTTCTTTATTTTTACTATTTTCTACGTTGTAGAAAACACATGGAATCATGTAGTAACCAAAAAAGTGTTTTTTGATTTGTTTAACACTTCTTTGGTTACTACATGATTCCATATGGGTTATTTCATAGTTTTGATGTCTTCACTATTATTCTACAATGTAGAAAATAGTAAAAATAAAGAAAAACCCTTGAATGAGTAAGTGTGTCCAAACTTTTGACTGGTACTGTACATACATACATACATACAGTGCCTTCGGAAAGTATTCAGACCCCTTGACTTTTTCCACATTTTGTTAAGTTACAGCCTTGTTCTACAATGGATTAAATTGTTTTTCAATCTACACACAATACCCCATAATGACAAAGCAAAAACGGGTTTTTAGCAAGTCCTTTAGGGGACTTTTGGCAAACTCCAAGCGGGCTGTCGTGCCTTTTACTGAGGAGTGTCTTCCGTCTGGCCACTCTACCATAAAGGCCTGAATGGTGGAGTGCTGCAGAGATGGTTGTCCTTCTGGAAGGTTCTCCCGTCTCCACAGAAGAACTCTGTAGCCCTGTCAGGGTGACCATCAGGTTCTTAGTCACCTCCCTGACCAAGGCCCTTCTCCCCCGATTGCTCAGTTTGGCCAGGCGGCCAGCTCTAGGAAGAGTCTTGGTTGTTCCAAACTTCTTCCATTTAAGAATGATGTAGGCCACTGTGTCCTTGGAGACCTTCAATGCTGCAGTAATGTTTTGGTACCCTTCCCCAGATCTGTGCCTCGACACAATCCTGTCTCGGAGCTCTATGGACAATTCCTTCGACCTCATGGCTTGGTTTTTGCTCTGACATGCACTGTGAACTGTGTAACCTTATATAGACAGATGTGTGCCTTTCCAAACCATGTCCAATCAATTGAATTTACCACAGGTGGACTCCAAGTTGTAGAAACATCTCAAGGATGATCAATGGAGACAGGATGCACCTGAGCTCAATTTCGAGTCTGATAGCAAAGGGTCTGACTACTTATGTAAATAAGGTATTTCTGTTTTTAATTTTTAATACATTTGCTAATATTTCTAAAAAAACAGTTTTTGCTTCGTCATTATGGAGTATTGTGTGTAGATCAATGAGGAAAAAAATATTTTAATCCATTTTAGAATAAGGCTGTAACATAACATAAAAAGGGGTCTGAATACTTTCAAAATTCACTGTTTATTTATTTATTGTTTCTTTGTTATTATGTGAAGCAACATGCCAGAATAGGGAATATGAATCCTTGCTGATGCTGGAAGGCCTGGAGAAGATGGTGGCAGACCTCCTGAAACGTGCTGGACAGCTGAGAAAAGGTACTACATCTTGCTTCACTCTATACACTCACTCACACACATCTCCACTCGAAGTGAGAGCTCTCCCTCTCAATGTTTTTCACTGGCACAGTGTAGAGTATAATCAAATGTCAAGAGAATTAGTTCGGATTTGAAAAATCAGTCTTGGAAAGTAGGTATATTACCCTCCAATTCCCCATTTACTGACTTTTCCAGGGACTTAACTTGTGGTGAAATTGTGACCTTTTGCAATTTATTCACCCAGCAGAATTTAAATTAGCCTATATAGCATCTCACAGTATAATGCAACATATTCTCCACGGCCTTGAACAAATACAATTATAAGCTGAGCTCTCTTTTCCCCCCTCACCAATCTCACTGTGACAGTGTGGAGCTGATGGTGGGAACTTTTCATTAGAATTGACCGTTTTTAGTGCTCCCAAAGCCTCCGAGATGTCTGGCTAGGGGCTAGATTGTGACAGAATGTTCCAGAATACACACACTCTGTCCAGAGTCAAAGCCAGAGTCCCCACTTAAAATTGAGAGTCTCGACTGGCTGCCTTGCTGGCCCTGGCTTTCTCTCTCTCTCCCTCTTTCTCTCTCATTCACTCACACACAGAAATATCTCATTTACATGTACATAAGTATTCACACCCCTGAGTCAATACTTTGTAGAAGCACCTTTTGCACCGATTACAGATGTGTGTCTTTCTGGGTAAGTCTCTTAAGAGCTTTCCACACCTGGATTGCGCAACATTTTCCCATTATTATTTTCAAAATTCTTCAAGCTCTGTAAAATTTAAGTCAGATTTAAGTCAAAACTGTGACTCGGCCACTCAACAACATTCACTGTCTTGGTAAGCAACTCCAGTGTAGATTTGGCCTTGTGTTTTATGTTATTGTCCTGCTAAAAGGTGAATTCATCTCCCAGTGTCTGGTGGAAAGCAAGACTGAACCAGGTTTTCCTCTAGGATTTTGCCTGTGCTTAGCACCATTCCGTTTGTTTTTTATCATGAAAAACTCCCCAGTCCTTAACAATTACAAACACAACCATAACATGATGCAGCCACCACAATGCTTGAAAATATGACAGTGATACTCAGTAATATGTTTGGGGCAAATCCAATACTTTGTATTCAGGACAAAAAGTGAATTGCTTTGCCACATATTTTGCAGTATTACTTTAGTGCCTTGTTGCAAACAGAATGCATGTTTTGGAATATTCTTATTCTGCACAGGCTTTTGTCTTTTCACTCAGTATAACAGTAATATTTATTATCTTATCTCTAATTTACATTCTGGTAGTCTGATGATTATGCAGCATTTTATTTTGGGACATTTCAAATGAATTCAGTGCAAATGTCCAACAATAGAACGGTACAGTGACGCTTTTGTTGCAGCATTGTCATGAGTCAACTCACAACAGGACGATGAGCAGATTAATTCTCACGTCACGATCCCCCAATGGAGAAATGTGCTCCCTGAGAGTCAATCTCCACGCGGACGCACACTAACGAGCTAATTGAACCCCTCACTGTCTTGACTTATGGAAAATAAAAATAGAAACCGTCAGAGTAACACCGTAACACACCGGAGACAGATCTGTTCTTGTTTCCTTGGGCTCCTTTTTGAGGTGTGTCTGACTGATGGTGAGGCTCCTTCTCAGGTCCCCCTGTGTGAGTGTGACAGTGAGGTTTTAAAGCCGTCAGTCAGTCCATCCCTGACGACGCTCGATGCTTGGCCCTGCTATTTAAACTGAGGCAGCAGCAAGCACATAGGAGGCGCAAACGTTTTCGGCTTCGGTTGCTCGCGCTCCTCGCACTCTAAAAATAAACAAAATTTTTCCAACCAGAGCGGGAGGCATGGGATCGATGGAGGAGGCCGAAGAGGGAAGGAACGGGAGCGTTCTGCCCCGTCAGGAGAAGGGGCAATTGGGGTGACCAGAGTGGGGTGACCCCCTTGCCCCCCACCCTGACCTACACCAGCCAGGCAGAGCTCCAGGAGGTGGAGAGGCTGAGGCTGAGAGTGGAGCTGCTACAGCAGGAGGTGCACCTGCATCAGGTAAGAGGCACAACTATCATTCATATATATATATATTGTGATGGCCACTCCAATACCTTGACTTTGTTGTCCTTAAGCCATTTTGCCACAACTTTGGAAGTATGCTTGGGGTCATTGTCCATTTGGAAGACCCATTTGCGACCAAGCTTTAACTTCCTGACTGATGTCTTGAGATGTTTTATGCAGCATTTTATTTTGGGACATTTCAAATGAATTCAGTGCAAATGTCCAACAATAGACGTGGTCCTCTGTAGCTCAGCTGGTAGAGCACGGCGCTTGTAACGCCAAGGTAGTGGGTTCGATCCCCGGGACCACCCACACACAAAAATGTATGCACGCATGACTGTAAGTCGCTTTGGATAAAAGCGTCTGCTAAATGGCATATTATTATTATTATTATGTTGCTTCAATATATCCACATCATTTTCCTTCCTCATGATGCCATCTATTTTGTGAAGTGCACCAGTCCCTCCTGCAGCAAAGCACCCCCACAGCATGATGCTGCCACCCCCGTGCTTCACGGTTGGGATGGTGTTCTTCGGCTTGCAAGTCCCCCTTTTTCCTCCAAACATAACGATGGTCATTATGGCCAAGTTCTATTTTTGTTTCATCAGACCAGAGGACATTTCTCCAAAAAAGTATGTTCTTTGTCCCTATGTGCAGTTGCAAACTGTAGTCTGGCTTTTTAATGGTGGTTTTGGAGCAGTGGCTTCTTCCTTGCTGAGCGGCCTTTCAGGTTATGTCGATATAGGACTCGTTTTACTATGGATATAGATACTTTTGTACCTGTTTCCTCCAGCATCTCAAGGTTCATTTGCTGTTGTTCTTGAATTGATTTGCACTTTTCGCACCAAAGTACGTTCATCTCTAGGAGACAGAACGCGTCTCCTTCCTGAGCGGTATGACGGCTGCGTAGTCCCATGGTGTTTATACTTGCGTATTATTGTTTGTACAGATGAACATGGTACCTTCAGGCATTTGAAAATTGCTCCCAAGGATGAACCAGACTTGTGGAGGTCTACAATTGTTTTTCTGAGGTCTTGGCTAATTTCTTTTGATTTTCCCATGATGTCAAGTAAAGAGGCACTGAGTTTGAAGGTAGTCCTTGAAATACATCCACAGGTACACCTCCAATTGACTCAAATGATGTCAATTAGCCTATCAGAAGGCACAGTCAATTTAGTATGTGTAAACTTCTGACCCACTGGAATTGTGATACAGTGAATTAAAAGTTAAATAATCTGTCTGTAAACAATTGTTGGAAAAATTACTTTTGTCATGCACAAAGTAGATGTCCTAACCGACTTGCCAAAACTATAGTTTGTTAACAAGGAATTTGTGGAGTGGTTGATAAACAAGATTTAATGACTCCAACCTAAGTGTATGTAAACTTACGACTTCAACTGTATATATATATACCGTTCAAAAGTTTGGGGTCACTTAGAAATGTCCTTGTTTTCGAAAGAAAAGCTTTTTTTTTTGTCCATTTAAAATAACATCAAATTGATCAGAAATACAGTGTAGACATTGTTAATGTTGTAAATGGCTATTGTAGCTGGAAACGGCTGATAAAAAAATAAATAAGGAATATCTACATAGGCGTACAGAGGCCCATTATCAGCAACCATCAGTCCTGTGTTCCAATGGCACGTTGTGTTTGCTAATCCAAGTTTATCATTTTAAAAGGCTAATTGATCATTAGAAAACCCTTTTGCAATTATATTAGCACAGCTGAAAACTGTTGTGCTGATTAAAGAAGCAATAAAACTGGCCTTCTTGAGACTAGTTGAGTATCTGGAGCATCAGCAATTGTGGGTTCGATTACAGGCTCAAAATGGCCAGAAACAAATAACTTTCTTCTGAAACTCATCAGTCTATTCTTGTTCTGAGAAATTAAGGCTATTCCATGCGAGAAATTACCAAGAAACTGAAGATCTCGTACAACGCTGTGTACTACTCCCTTCACAGAACAGCGCAAACTGGCTCTAACCAGAATAGAAAGAGGAGTGGGAGGCCCCGGTGCACAACTGAGCAAGAGGACAAATACATTAGTGGCTAGTTTGAGAAACAGATGCCTCACAGGTCCTCAACTGGCAGCTTCATTAAATAGTACCCGCAAAACACCAGTCTCAACGTCAACAGTGAAGAGGCGACTCCGGGATGCTGACCTTCTAGGCAGATTTGCAAAGAAAAATGCATATCTCAGACTGGCCAATAAAAATAAAAGATTAAGATGGGCAAAAGAACACAGACACTGGACAGAGGAAGATTGGGGGAAAAAAAGTGTTATGGACAGACAAATCGAAGTTTGAGGTGTTCGGATCACAAAGAATAACATTTGTGAGACGCAGACCAAATGAAAAGATGATGGAGGAGTGCTTGATACCATCTGTCAAGCATGGTGGAGGCAATGTGATGGTCTGGGGGTGCTTTGGTGGTGGTAAAGTGGGAGATTTGTACAGGGTAAAATGGATCTTGAAGAAGGAAGGCTATCACTCCATTTTGCAACGCCATGCCATACCCTGTGGACGGCGCTTGATTGGAGCCAATTTCCTCCTACAACAGGACAATGACCCAAAGCACAGCTCCAAACTATGCAATAACTATTTAGGGAAGCAGCTGATATTCTGTCTATAATGGAGTGGCCAGCACAGTTACTGGATCTCAACCCTATTGAGCTGTTGTGGGAGCAGCTTGACCGTATGGTACGTAAGAAGTGCCCATCAAGCCAATCCAACTTGTGGGAGGTGCTTCAGGAAGCATCGGGTGAAATCTCTTCAGATTACCTCAACAAATTGACAACTAGAATGCCAAAGGTCTGCAAGGCTGTAATTGCTGCAAATGGAGGATTCTTTGACGAAAGCAAAGTTTGAAGGACACAATTATTATTTATATTAAAAATCATTATTTCTAACCTTGTCAATAACTACATTTCCTATGCATTTTGCTATATTTCCTATTCAAACTCATTTCATGTATGTTTTCATGGAAAACATGGACATTTCTAAGTGACCCCAAACTTTTGAACGGTAGTGTATATACACACACACACACACACAGACACACACACTTGTAACAGGTAGCTAATAACACACCTTTTACACATTTCTACCAAGAGTCATGCCGTTACACACCTGTGCCCTGTAAAAGTTGATTTCTCCACAAAGGTCAATATCGAGACTACTGTGTGTTTTTGCGCCTGTGTGCATTTGTCACTTTTTTGGTGTGTGTTTTGTTTCTCTGACAGGCTCTCTCTGACACCATGGTTATGCTCTCCGCTCCTGGACTTCCCAACCCCGCCGCGCTCCGTGACATTTACTCCCTGCTTGGAGAAGGAGGGGTGATGTTCCCTACTCTGGTCCTGGACACGGAACCTGACTAAAGGAACAGGTCAAAGGAACCGAACTGGCCAAATCATCTGGGTCATGTTTATTAGGGCACACGATGCAACGGAAAACAAAAATGAACATTTCTAATTGGACAAGTCCAGGTAGCCCCTCCCTGTTTCATTCTGTGTTCTTCCGTTTTGTGCCTAATGAACACGACTAAGAAAGACTATTGAAGAATAGACCAAGGAATGGAATGTCTTAGGAGGGGACACTGAGAACAGAGGAAGAAGATTGGAGAATCTTCTGAAAAGAGGGATTTTTGTGTGTTGGAAGTGTTGATCTGTGTATTTATTGGAGTGATTGTGTATTGAGAATGCTGTCTGGTTTATGTGAGCATTTTGGTTTTACAATCATTGTTCCTTTTTGTATATTGTAAGACTCTTTTATAATTAGATTAAATTATTCAAATGTATGGATATTGAAAGAGTTACTTTTCTCCATTCGGTAGTCTACATCTACAAATGTGTAATAATATTTGTTTAATCATTTAAATAAAAACTAAGTTGGGGTCAATGGCATATGCTGTAATTTTATATTTAGCAGCAGATGGCGCTATACATTTACATTTACATTTTAGTCATTTAGCAGACACTCTAATCCAGAGTGATTTACAGTTAGTGAGTGCATATATTTTCATACCATGACGCGCCTTTCAAATCAAGAACAGCCTACATGCTGTACATTAGTATTTACATTTACATTTAGTACTTGTTATACAGACTACATTCCCTCTTATCTATTTAATGCATGTTAAGTTAGAATTTTAAATATCAAGTACACAAAAAAATTATTAGAAATAAATCTTGTGGGGGCCTCCCGAGTGGCGCAGCGGTCTAAGGCACTGCATCGCAGTGCTAGGGGCGTCACTACAGACCCGGGTTCGATCCCAGGCTGTATCACAACCGGCCGTGATCGGGAGTCCCATAGGGCAGCGCAAAAATGGCCCAGCGTCATCCGGGTTAGGGGAGGGTTTGGCCGGGGGGGCTTTACTTGGCTCATTGCTCTCTAGCGACTCGCTGTGGCGGGCCAGGCACCTGCAGACTGACCTCGGTCGTCAGGTGAACAGTGTTTCCTCCGACACATTGAAGAGGTAGATCAACTGCATGAGCCTCACCTGCCCGGCCAACACTCCTCCGGTCGACAGGTGGTGTAGGTACGCACCAGTGGAGGCTGCTGAGGGTTGACGGCTCATTATAATGACTGGAACGGAGCAAATGAAATGGCATCAAACACATGTTTTCCATCTATTTGATACCATTCCACCTATTCCTCTCCAGCCATTACCACAAGCCCGTTCTCCCCAATTAAGGTGCCTCCAACCTCCTGTGGCACGCACCAAATCAAATTTGTCACATGCGCCAAATACAACCGATGTAGACCTTACCTTCAAATGCTTACTTACAAGCCCTTAACCAACAATGCAGTTAAAGAAATACAGTTAAGAAAATATTTACTAAATAAACTAAAGTAAAAAGTAACACAATAAAATAACAATAACGAGGCTATATACAGAGGGCACCTGTACCAAGTCAATGTGCGGGGGTACAGGTTAGTCGAGGTAATTTGTACATGTAGGTGGGGGGGGGGGGGGGGGGGGGGTGACTGGAGTCTTTGACCATTTTTTGGGCGTTCCTCTGACACCGCCTAGTATATAGGTCCTGGATGGCAGGAAGCTTGGCCCCAGTGATGTACTGGGCCGTATGCACTACCCTCCGTAGCGCCTTACGGTCGGATGCCGAGCAGTTGCCATACCAGGCGGTGATGCAACCGGTCAGGATGCTCTCGATGGTGCAGCTGTATAACTTTTTGAGGATCTGGGGACCCATGGCAAATCTTTTCAGTCTCCTGAGGGGGAAAAGGTGTTGTTGTGCCCTCTTCACGACTGTCTTGGTGTGTTTGGACCATGATAGTTTGTTGGTGATGTGGACACCAAGGAACTTGAAGCCCCGTCGATGTGAATGGGGGTGTGTTCGTCCCTCCTTTTCCTGTAGTCCACGATCAGCTCCTTTGTCTTGCTCACATTGAGGGAGAGGTTGTTGTCCTGGCACCACACTGCAAGGTCTCTGACCTCCCTATAGGCTGTCTCATCGTTGTCTGTGATCAGACTACCCCTGTTGTGTTATCATAAAACTTAATGATGGTGTTGGAGTCGTGTTGGACATACAGTCGTGGGTGAACAGGGAGTACAGGAGAGGACTAAGCACGCACCCCTGAGGGGCCCCAGTGTTGAGGATCAGCGTGGCAGATGTGTTGTTGACTACCCTTACCACCTGGATCCAGTTGCAGAGGGAGGTATTTAGTCCCAGGGTCCTTAGCTTAGTGATGAGCTTTGTGGGCACTATTGTTTTTAACGCTGAGCTGTAGTCAATGAACAGCATTCACACATAGGTGTTCCTTTTGTCCAGGTGGGAAAGGGCAGTGTGGAATGCGATTGAGATTGCGTCATCTGTGGATCTGTTGGGGCGGTATGCGAATTAGAGTGGGTCTAGGGTTTCCGGGACGATGGTGTTGATGTGACCAGCCTTTCAAAGCACTTCATGGCTACCGACATGTGTGCTACGGGGTGGTAGTCATTTAGGTAGGTTACCTTCGCTTTCTTGGGCACAGGGACTATGGTGGTCTGCTTGAAACATGTACAGTTGAAGTCGGAAGTTTACATACACTTAGGTTGGAGTCAAATATTTCCCCAAAAATATTTCCACTGCATTTCAGCCCTGCCACAAAAGGACCAGCTGACATCATGTCAGTGATTATCTCGTTAACACAGGTGAGAGTGTTGACGAGGACAAGGCTGGAGATCACTCTGTCATGCTGATTGAGTTAGAATAACAGACTGGAAGCTTTAAAAGGAGGGTGATGCTTGAAATCATTGTTCTTCCTCTGTTAACCATGGTTACCTGCAAGGAAACACGTGCCGTCATCATTGCTTTGCACAAAAAGGGCTTCACAGGAAAGGATATTGCTGCTAGTAAGATTGCACCTAAATCAACAATTTATCGGATCATCAAGAACTTCAAGAAGCGAGGTTCAATTGTTGTGAAGAAGGCTTCAGGGCACCCAAGAAAGTCCAGCAAGCGCCAGGACCGTCTCCTAAGAGCTTGCTCAGGAATGGCAGCAGGCAGGTGTGAGTGCATCTGCACGCACAGTGAGGCAAAGACTTTTGGAGGATGTCCTGGTGTCAAGAAGGGCAGCGAGGAAGCCACTTCTCTCCAGGAAAAACATCAGGGACAGACTGATATTCTGCAAAAGGTACAGGGATTGGACTGCTGAGGACTGGGGTAAAGTCATTTTCTCTGATGAATCCCCTTTCCGGTTGTTTGGGGCATCTGGAAAAAAGCTTGTCCGGAGAAAACAAGGTGAGCGCTACCATCAGTCCTGTGTCATGCCAACAGTAAAGCATCCTGAGACCATGTGTGGGGTTGCTACTCAGCCAAGGGAGTGGGCTCACTCACAATTTTGCCTAAGAACACAGCCATGAATAAAGAATGGTACCAACACATCCTCCGAGAGCAACTTCTCACAACCATCCAAGAACAGTTTGGTGACGAACAATGCCTTTTCCAGCATGATGGAGCACCTTGCCATAAGGCAAAAGTGATAACTAAGTGGCTTGGGGAACAAAACATTGAAATGTTTGGTCCATGGCCAGGAAACTCCCCAGACCTTAATCCCATTGAGAACTTGTGGTCAATCCTCAAGAGGCGGGTGGACAAACAAACCCCACAAATTCTGACAAACTCCAAGTATTGATTATGCAAGAATGGGCTGCCATCAGTCAGGATGTGGCCCAGAAGTTAATTGACAGCATGCCAGGGCGGATTGCAGAGGTCATGAAAAAGAAGGGTCAACACTGCAAATATTGACTCTTTGCATAAACTTATTGTAATTGTCAATTGTCAATAAAAGCCTTTGACACTTATGGAATGCTTGTAATTATACTTCAGTATACCATAGTAACATCTGACAAAAATATCTAAAAACACTGACGCAGCAAACTTTGTGAAGACCAACACTTGTCATTCTCAAAACTTTTGACCATGACTGTACGTACGGTCACTGTGGGGACATCGTCCTCGATGCACTTATTGATGAAGCTGGTGACTGAGTTGATATACTCCTCAATGCCATTGGGTGAATCCCTAGCAAAACAGTCCTGTAGCGTAGCATCCGCGTCATCTGACCACTTCCGTATTGAGCGAGTCACTGGTAATTCCTGCTTTAGTTTTTGCTTGTAAGCAGGAATCAGGAGGATAGAATTATGGTCAGATTTTCCAAATGGAGGGCGAGGGAGAGCTTTGTATGCATCTCTGTGTGTGGAGTAAATGTGGTCTAGAGTTATTTTTCCTCTGGTTGCACATGTGACTTGCTGGTAGATTTCTTTTATTTTTATTTATTTCACCTTTATTTAACCGGGTAAGCCAGTTGAGAACAAGTTCTCATTTACAACTGCGACCTGGCCAAGATAAAGCAAAGCAGTGCGATAAAAACAACAACACAGAGTTACATATGGGGTAAAACAAAACATAAAGTCAAAAATACAACATAAAATATATATACAGTGTGTGCAAATGTAGCAAGTTATGTAAGGCAATAAATAGGCTATAGTGCAAAATAGTTAGAATTTCGTATTAACACTGGAATGATTGATGTGCAAAAGATGATGTGCAAATAGAGATACTGGGGTGCAAATTAGCAAAATAAATAACAATATGGGGATGAGGTAGTTGGGTGGGCTAATTTCAGAATGGCTGTGTACAGGTGCAGTGATCGGTAAGCTGCTCTGACAACTGACGCTTAAAGTTAGTGAGGGAGATAAGTCTCCAGCTTCAGAGATTTTTGCAATTCGTTCCAGTCATTGGCAGCAGAGAACTAGAAGGAATGGCGCCCAAAGGAGGTGTTAGCTTTGGGGATGACCAGTGAGATATACCTGCTGGAGCGCATACTACGGGTGGGTGTTGCTACGGGTGACCAATGAGCTAAGATAAGGTGGGGATTTGCCTATCAGTGATTTATAGATGGCCTGGAGCCAGTGGGTTTGGCGACGAATATGTAGTGAGGACCAGCCAACAAGAGCGTACAGGTCACAGTGGTGGGTAGTATATGGGGCTTTGGTGACAAAATGGATGGCACTGTGATAGACTACATCCAATTTGCTGAGTAGAGTGTTGGAAGCTATTTTGTAAATGACATCGCCGAAGTCAAGGATCGGTAGGATAGTCAGTTTTACGAGGGCATGTTTGGCAGCATGAGTGAAGGAGGCTTTGTTGCGAAATAGGAAGCCGATTCTAGATTTAACTTTGGATTGGAGATTCTTAATGTGAGTCTGGAAGGAGAGTTTACAGTCTAACCAGACACCTAGGTATTTGTAGTTGTCCACATAATCTAGGTCAGACCCGTCGAGAGTAGGGATTCTAGTCGGGTGGGCGGGTGCCAGCAGCGTTCGATTGAAGAGCATGCATTTAGTTTTACTAGTGTTTAAGAGCAGTTGGAGGTTACTGAAGGAGTGTTGTATGGCATTGAAGCTCGTTTTGAGGTTTGTTAACACAGTGTCCAATGAAGGGCCAGATGTATACAAAATGGTGTCGTCTGCGTAGAGGTGGATCTGAGAGTCACCAGCAGCAAGAGCGACATCATTGATATACACGGAGAAAAGAGTCGGCCCAAGAATTGAACCCTGTGGCACCCCCATAGAGACTGCCATAGGTCCAGACAACAGGCCCTCCGATTTTACACATTGAACTCTATCTGAGAAGTAGTTGGTGAACCAGGCGAGGCAGTCATTTGAGAAACCAAGGCTATTTAGTCTGCCAATAAGAATGCGGTGGTTGACAGAGTCGAAAGCCTTGGCCAGGTCGATGAAGACGGCTGCACAGTACTGTCTATTATCGATCGCGGTTATTATAATCATTTAGGACCTTGAGCATGGCTGAGGTGCACCCATGACCAGCTCGGAAACCGGATTGCATAGTGGAGAAGGAACGGTGGGATTCGAAATGGTCGGTGATCTGTTTGTTAACTTGGCTTTCAAAAACTTTTGAAAGGCAGGGCAGGATGGGTATAGGTCTGTAACAGTTTGGATCTAGAGTGTCACCCCCTTTGAAGAGGGGGATGACCGCGGCAGCTTTCCAATCTCTGGGGATCTCAGACGTTACGAAAGAGAGGTTGAACAGGCTAGTAATAGAGGTTGCGACAATTTCGGCGGCTAGTTTTAGAAAGAAAGGGTCCAGATTGTCTAGCCCAGATGATTTGTGGTCCTCTGTAGCTCAGCTGGTAGAGCACGGCGCTTGTATGCCAAGGTAGTGGGTTCGATCCCCGGGACCACCCATACACAAAAATTTATGCACGCATGACTGTAAGTCGCTTTGGATAAAAGCGTCTGCTAAATGGCATATTATTATTATTATTATTATTATTATTTGTAGGGGTCCAGATTTTGCAGCTCTTTCAGAACATCAGCTGTCTGAATTTGTATGAAGGAGAAGCGGGGGGGGCATGGGCAAGTTGCAGCGGAGGGTGCAGAGCTGGTGGCCGGGGTAGTGGTAGCCAGGTGGAAAGCATGGTCAGCCGTAGCAAAATGCTTGTTGAAATTCTCGATTATTGTAGATTTATCGGTGGTGATAGTGTTTCCTAGCATCAGTGCAGTGGGCAGCTGGGAGGAGGTGCTCTTATTCTCCATGGACTTTACAGTGTCCCAAAACTTTTTGGAGTTAGTGGTACAAGATGCACATTTCTGTTTGAAAAAGTTAGCCTTTGCTTTCCTAACTGCTTGTGTATATTGGTTCCTAACTTCCCTGAAAAGTTGCATATCGTGGGGGCTATTTGATGCTAATGCAGTACGCCACAGGATGTTTTTGTGCTGGTCAAGGGCAGTCAAGTCTGAGGAGAACCAGGGGCTATATCTGTTCTTAGTTCTGTATTTTTTTAAATGAGGTAGAACGGATTTGTTTGCCTGCATTAAAGTCACCAGCCACTATGAGCATTTTCTTCTACGCTTATGGCCTTATATAGCTAGTTGAGTGATGTCTTAGTGCCAGCATCGGTTTGCGGTGGTAAATAGACAGCTACGAAAATATAGATGAAAACTCTCTTGGTAGAGCTTATTATGAGGTACTCTACCTCATGTGAGCAATACCTCGAGAGTTCCTTAATATTAGACATCACTCCAACAGCTGTTATTGACAAATAGACACACACCCCCACTCAGACGTACAGTGAGGAGAACAAGTATTTGATACACTGCCAATTTTGCAGGTTTTCCTACTTACAAAGCATGTAGAGGTCTGTAATTTTTATCATAGGTACACTTCAACTGTGAGAGACAGAATCTAAAACAAAAATCCAGAAAATCACATTGTATGATTTTTAAGTAATTAATTTGCATTTTATTGCATGACATAAGTATTTGATCACCTACCAACCAGTAAGAATTCCGGCTCTCACAGACCTGTTAGTTTTTCTTTAAGAAGCCCTCCTGTTCTCCACTCATTACCTGTATTAACTGCACCTGTTTGAACTCGTTACCTGTATAAAAGACACCTGTCCACACACTCAATCAAACAGACTCCAACCTCCCCACAATGGCCAAGAACAGAGAGCTGTGTAAGGACATCAGGGATAAAATTGTAGACCTGCACAAGGCTGGGTTGGGCTACAGGACAATAGGCAAGCAGCTTGGTGAGAAGGCAACAACTGTTGGCGCAATTATTAGAAAATGGAAGAAGTTCAAGATGACGGTCAATCACACTCGGTCTGGGGCTCCATGCAAGATCTCACCTCGTGGGGCATCAATGATCATGAGGAAGGTGAGGGATCAGCCCAGAACTACACTGCAGGACCTGGTCAATGACCTGAAGAGAGCTGGGACCACAGTCTCAAAGAAAACCATTAGTAACACACTACGCCGTCATGGATTAAAATCCTGCAATGCACGCAAGGTCCCCCTGCTCAAGCCAGCGCATGTCCAGGCCCGTCTGAAGTTTGCCAATGACCATCTGGATGATCCAGAGGAGGAATGGGAGAAGGTCATGTGGTCTGATGAGACAAAAATAGAGCTTTTTGGTCTAAACTCCACTCGCCGTGTTTGAAGGAAGAAGAAGGATGAGTACAACCCCAAGAACACCATCCCAACCGTGAAGCATGGAGGTGGAAACATCATTCTTTGGGGATTCTTTTCTGCAAAGGGGACAGGACGACTGCACCGTATTGAGGGGAGGATGGATGGGGCCTTGTATCGCGAGATCTTGGCCAACAACCTCCTTCCCTCAGTAAGAGCATTGAAGATGGGTCGTGGCTGGGTCTTCCAGCATGACAACGACCCGAAACACACAGCCAGGGCAACTAAGGAGTGGCTCCGTAAGAAGCATCTCAAGGTCCTGGAGTGGCCTAGCCAGTCTCCAGACCTGAACCCAATAGAAAATCTTTGGAGGGAGCAGAAAGTCCGTATTGCCCAGCGACAGCCCCGAAACCTGAAGGATCTGGAGAAGGTCTGTATGGAGGAGTGGGCCAAAATCCCTGCTGCAGTGTGTGCAAACCTGGTCAAGACCTACAGGAAACGTATGATCTCTGTAATTGCAAATAAAGGTTTCTGTACCAAATATTAAGTTCTGCTTTTCTGATGTATCAAATACTTATGTCATGCAATAAAATGCAAATTAATTACTTAAAAATCATACAATGTTATTTTCTGGATTTTTGTTTTAGATTCCGTCTCTCACAGTTGAAGTGTGCCTATGATAAAAAGTACAGACCTCTACATGCTTTGTAAGTAGGAAAACCTGCAAAATCGGCAGTGTATCAAATACTTGTTCTCCCCACTGTAGCTGTTCTGTCCTGCCGATGCACGGAAAACCCAGCCAATTGTGTATTATCCGTGTCGTCGTTCAGCCACTACTCGGTAAAACATAAGATATTACAGTTTTTAATGTCCCGATGGTAGGATAGTCTCGAACGGAGATCATCCAGTTTATTCTCCAGTGATTGCACGTTGGCCAATAGAACGGATGGTAGAGGCAGGTTACCCACTCGCCAACCAATTCTCACAAGGCACCCCGATCTCCGCCCTTGTTTTTCCGTCTTTTCTTCACGCGAGAGACGGGGATTTGGGCCTGGTCTCGGAGAAGCAGTATATCATTCACGTCGGACTCATTAAATAAAAAATCTTTGTCCATTTCGAGGTGAGTAATCACTCCCTATCGAGACCCTTCAGATCGGCCAACATCGAAGGGTAGGCCCAAGGGACCAGCTATCTGTGTTCATCTCCATGTCTTTTAGTCATAGGGACAAACCTGATAAATGATTTAGATCTGTTCTTTGACTTGCCAGTTTCCATGCCCAATCTAAGAGGAATAGCCTCTGTCTGCTGTTTCATACATTTTGACGGAATTTCCTATCCTGTCTGCTTATGGCATAGATTTATACAGCATGTATGGGTCTGGCATGACCACATCTATTATTCTACCCTTCTGATCCTAGGATCTGTTGTGATAGAATATGAATTGATGGGTCTGTCAAACACTGATGTCAAACACTGATGCGATATGAGAGATTATGAAGGTGGGTGTGAGAGGTAGGGGGGCCTATAGAGGACAAAAAGGGCCAATTCAATGCGTGCCCAGTCTACCCACAGTCAAATGACGTGAGGATGGCACAAGCTGGTCCAGACTGGGTGACAGGTGGCACCGGGTTTACACAGCGGGCCGTGGGTGTGTGCGCTCTGCCACACCAGCCCGCACACAGACACACAACACACACACACTCCTCCAGGGTGACTGAGTCACCAGGGGAACAGGTTCCATGGAAAGCTACTCAGAGGGATGTCAGCTGGGGTGAGCAGAAAGAGACAAAGAGACATAATAACATACAGCAGGACAGTAGTCATGGTGACATGAGGGTGGTGTTCAGTAGGCACATAATGGGGATCTTCTGGTTTCCACTAGATAGCACAGCCACAAAGTCAAAATTGGCTAACAAAAAGCCCACGCAACTCAGCCTTCCTGTGTCCCCACCCGCCTGACATACTGTAGTACGTATGCTTCAGACAACTGAACAATTTTCAGAAATTTCCTAGTCTTTACATAAAGGGCAATTCCGCCACTTTTTAACCTCATATTCATTATTTTCAGCACCATACCAGTGTCAACATATGTGAAAACAGCAAGTTTCTATGATTGTTTTTTTTTTTTTACATTTAGCAGATACTCTTATCCAGAGCGACTTACAGGAGCAATTAGGGTTAAGTGCCTTGCTCAAGGACACATCGACAGATTTTTCACGTAGTCGGCTCGGGGATTAGAACCAGTGACCTTTCGGTTACCGGCACAACGCTCTTTACCACTAAGCTACCTACCGCCCTAACACCAGTGATTGCTTTATGCCTCTCTCCCATGTTAATATGCCTTGCTTATTGCTGTTTCGGTTATTTCTTAAAAAGACAAGAGTTCTTAAAAAATGCTTCTCTGTGACATCACATGGTAGGATTAAAAGTAAGAAAAACAGTGATTTTTAAAAACCTGCAACGAGTTTCAAGCCAGTTAAGTGTATTTTCTTGCTCCCTACGTCACTGCGAATCTCAGTGTTTGAAAATCACTGTTTTTCAAATGTTTTATCTTTTGATGCCATCAGGTAGAACTTTTTAACTTGATATATTTTTACTACAAAACATAGAAACTGGAATTGAGCTGGCGATAATGAAAATGAGCTTGAAAAGTGGTGGAATTAAATCAAATCAAATTAAGTAAATGTTATTTGTCACATGCGCCAAGTGTAGACCTTACTGTGAAATGCTTACTTACAAGCCCTTAACCAACAATGCAGAGTTTTTTTTTTTTTTAAGAGAAAAATAAATAAACTAAAGGAAAAATTGTAACAAAATAAATGAACCTTTAAGTTTTCTGTGTAACTGTTCTATATTCCTCTTACTCAACTGTTATCTTTCTCTCACTCCCTCTTGCTTTTCCTTTTAGTAATTGCCCTAAGGGGACAACTGAAGTTGTTTGAATTGAATTGAATTGTCCTCTACTCTCTATTCTTTCTCCGCCTGGCACATTCCCGTGATTTGTCCGTCCCCTCTGTCATTTGAATGGGGGTACAGAAGAACAAAACCTATAGTGCTTTCTAAATGGCAGTGTCCAAGTACACAACCACAGAAACCATGCTGCGTTACCAAGAATCCACCTCGCTTTTCATTGAGCCTTCTTTCTCCTTCACTCCTTCTCTCCCTCCCGCTCTTCTCTGACACCCCTGGCCCTTCTCACCCCATCCATCCCCCTCCTCTTCCCCTCCTCTCCTCCTCTCCTGTATGCCTTTCTCTGTTGGTATTCCGTTACAGCAGGCAGCTAGTGTTGAGTCACGCTGTTTCATCAATTACCCCTCCAGCAATGTTTATTATTTGATTTCCTCCCTGACCACCCTGCCTGTGTGTGTGTGTGTGTGTGTCAGTTTACTCTGTCACAGAGAGCTTTTCACCGGAGGACAGGGAGAGGCAGGGAGGGAGAGAGGAACAACTTAATAAAGGTTCAATCTTGTCATTGTGTTTTTGTGGGGGAGATCTATTCCCATGACCTCCTATTTCCTTTCAGACTATGGAGGAAAAGATATTCAGCAACTCTTGCTTTGTTTGTTATTGTTGAAACAACAAGTTTTGGTAAATAAATAATACTAATAGGTCATTGACTGTCCCCTGACCCCTCAGTAAACTCCCTTCAGGTTGTTGTGACCAGTGGAGGCTGCTGAGGGGAGGATGGCTCATACTAATGGATGGAACGGCGCGAATAGAATGGCATCAAACACATGAAAACCATGTGTTTGATGTATTTGATACCATTTCACTTATTCCGCTCCAGCTGTTACCATGAGCCCCTTCTCCCAATTAAGGTGCCACCCACCTCCTGTTATTGTGACCATAGACCTAGTTTTATTTCTATGGTTGTGAGTGACACCCTCCACCTCTGGTAGTGTGGTAGGATATTTAGTTAATCTCCCTGCCAGACATGAGGGAGACATGATGACAGGTAAAGAATGTAGGTGGGCTTCTGTTCAATGGCTGACATCAATATCCAGTTATCCCCCTGTCTATGAACTGGTTCTGTTCAATGGCTGACATCCATAACCAGTTATCCCCCTGTCTATGAACTGGTTCTGTTCAATGGCTGGCATCCATAACCAGTTATCCCCCTGTCTATGAACTGGTTCTGTTCAATGGCTGGCATCCATAACCAGTTATCCCCCTGTCTATGAACTGGTTCTGTTCAATGGCTGACATCCATAACCAGTTATCCCCCTGTCTATGAACTGGTTCTGTTCAATGGCTGACATCCATAACCAGTTATCCCCCTGTCTATGAACTGGTTCTGTTCAACGGCTGACATCCATAACCAGTTATCCCCCTGTCTATGAACTGGTTCTGTTCAATGGCTGACATCAATAACCAGTTATCCCCCTGTCTATGAACTGGTTCTGTTCAATGGCTGACATCAATATCCAGTTATCCCCCTGTCTATGAACTGGTTCTGTTCAATGGCTGACATCCATAACCAGTTATCCCCCTGTCTATGAACTGGTTCTGTTCAACGGCTGGCATCCATAACCAGTTATCCCCCTGTCTATGAACTGGTTCTGTTCAATGGCTGACATCAATATCCAGTTATCCCCCTGTCTATAAACTGGTTCTGTTCAATGGCTGACATCAATATCCAGTTATCCCCCTGTCTATGAACTGGTTCTGTTCAATGGCTGACATCAATAACCAGTTATCCCCCTGTCTAGGAACTGGTTATGTTCAATGGCTGACATCAATAACCAGTTATCCCCCTGTCTATGAACTGGTTATCATCAATGGCTGACATCAATAACCAGTTATCCCCCTGTCTATGAACTGGTTCTGTTCAATGGCTGACATCAATAACCAGTTATCCCCCTGTCTATGAACTGGTTCTGTTCAATGGCTGACATCAATAACCAGTTATCCCCCTGTCTATGAACTGGTTCTGTTCAATGGCTGACATCCATAACCAGTTATCCCCCTGTCTATGAACTGGTTATCATCAATGGCTGACATCAATAACCAGTTATCCCCCTGCTTAGGAACTGGTTCTGTTCAATGGCTGACATCAATAACCAGTTATTCCCCCTGCTCTATGAACCTTGGTTCTGTTCACCGGGCTGGACATCCATAACCAGTTATCCCCCTGTCTATGAACTGGTTCTGTTCAACAGGCTGACATCCATAACCAGGTTATCCCCCAGGTCTATGAACTTGGTTATGTTCAATGGCTGACGATCAATAACCAGTTATTCCCCCTGGTCTACTGAAACTGGTTATCATCACATGGCTGACATCAATACCAGTTATCCCCCTGTCTATGAACTGGTTCTGTTCAATGCTGGACATCATAACCAGTATCCCCCTGTCTAGGAACTGGTTATTTCAAATGGCTGACATCAATAAACAGTATATCCCCCCTGTCTATGAACTGGTTATCATCAATGGCTGACATCAATAACCAGTTATCCCCCTGCTTAGGAACTGGTTCTGTTCAATGGCTGACATCAATATCCAGTTATCCCCCTGTCTATTAACTGGTTCTGTTCAATGGCTGACATCAATATCCAGTTATCCCCCCCTGTGGTCCTCTGTAGCTCAGCTGGTAGAGCACGGCGCTTGTAACGCCAAGGTAGTGGGTTCGATCCCCGGGACCACCCATACACAAAAATGTATGCACGCACGACTGTAAGTCGCTTTGGATAAAAGTGTCTGCTAAATGGCATATTATTATTATTATTGTCTATGAACTGGTTCTGTTCAATGGCTGACATCCATAACCAGTTATCCCCCTGTCTATGAACTGGTTATCATCAATGGCTGACATCAATAACCAGTTATCCCCCTGCCTAGGAACTGGTTCTGTTCAATGGCTGACATCAATAACCAGTTATCCCCCTGTCTATGAACTGGTTATCATCAATGGCTGACATCAATATCCAGTTATCCCCCTGTCTATGAACTGGTTCTGTTCAATGGCTGACATCAATATCCAGTTATCCCCCTGTCTATAAACTGGTTCTGTTCAATGGCTGACATCAATATCCAGTTATCCCCCTGTCTATGAACTGGTTCTGTTCAATGGCTGACATCAATAACCAGTTATCCCCCTGTCTAGGAACTGGTTATGTTCAATGGCTGACATCAATAACCAGTTATCCCCCTGTCTATGAACTGGTTATCATCAATGGCTGACATCAATAACCAGTTATCCCCCTGTCTATGAACTGGTTCTGTTCAATGGCTGACATCAATAACCAGTTATCCCCCTGTCTAGGAACTGGTTATGTTCAATGGCTGACATCAATAAACAGTTATCCCCCTGTCTATGAACTGGTTATGTTCAATGGCTGACATCAATATCCAGTTATCCCCCTGTCTATGAACTGGTTCTGTTCAATGGCTGACATCAATAACCAGTTATCCCCCTGTCTAGGAACTGGTTATGTTCAATGGCTGACATCAATAACCAGTTATCCCCCTGTCTATGAACTGGTTCTGTTCAATGGCTGACATCAATATCCAGTTATCCCCCTGTCTATTAACTGGTTCTGTTCAATGGCTGACATCAATATCCAGTTATCCCCCCCTGTGGTCCTCTGTAGCTCAGCTGGTAGAGCACGGCGCTTGTAACGCCAAGGTAGTGGGTTCGATCCCCGGGACCACCCATACACAAAAATGTATGCACGCACGACTGTAAGTCGCTTTGGATAAAAGTGTCTGCTAAATGGCATATTATTATTATTATTATTATTATTGTCTATGAACTGGTTCTGTTCAATGGCTGACATCCATAACCAGTTATCCCCCTGTCTATGAACTGGTTATCATCAATGGCTGACATCAATAACCAGTTATCCCCCTGCCTAGGAACTGGTTCTGTTCAATGGCTGACATCAATAACCAGTTATCCCCCTGTCTATGAACTGGTTATCATCAATGGCTGACATCAATATCCAGTTATCCCCCTGTCTATGAACTGGTTCTGTTCAATGGCTGACATCAATATCCAGTTATCCCCCTGTCTATGAACTGGTTCTGTTCAATGGCTGACATCAATATCCAGTTATCCCCCTGTCTATGAACTGGTTCTGTTCAATGGCTGACATCCATAACCAGTTATCCCCCTGTCTATGAACTGGTTCTGTTCAATGGCTGACATCAATAACCAGTTATCCCCCTGTCTATGAACTGGTTCTGTTCAATGGCTGGCATCCATAACCAGTTATCCCCCTGTCTATGAACTGGTTCTGTTCAATGGCTGACATCAATAACCAGTTATCCCCCTGTCTATGAACTGGTTCTGTTCAATGGCTGGCATCCATAACCAGTTATCCCCCTGTCTATGAACTGGTTCTGTTCAACGGCTGACATCCATAACCAGTTATCCCCCTGTCTATGAACTGGTTCTGTTCAATGGCTGACATCCATAACCAGTTATCCCCCCGTCTATGAACTGGTACTGTTCAATGGCTGACATCCATAACCAGTTATCCCCCTGTCTATGAACTGGTTATCATCAATGGCTGACATCAATAACCAGTTATCCCCCTGTCTAGGAACTGGTTATGTTCAATGGCTGACATCAATAACCAGTTATCCCCCTGTCTATGAACTGGTTATCATCAATGGCTGACATCAATAACCAGTTATCCCCCTGTCTATGAACTGGTTCTGTTCAATGGCTGACATCAATATCCAGTTATCCCCCTGTCTATTAACTGGTTCTGTTCAATGGCTGACATCAATATCCAGTTATCCCCCTGTCTATGAACTGGTTCTGTTCAATGGCTGACATCAATAACCAGTTATCCCCCCGTCTATGAACTGGTTCTGTTCAATGGCTGACATCCATAACCAGTTATCCCCCTGTCTATGAACTGGTTATGTTCAATGGCTGACATCAATAACCAGTTATCCCCCTGTCTATGAACTGGTTATCATCAATGGCTGACATCAATATCCAGTTATCCCCCTGCCTAGGAACTGGTTCTGTTCAATGGCTGACATCAATAACCAGTTATCCCCCTGTCTATGAACTGGTTATCATCAATGGCTGACATCAATATCCAGTTATCCCCCTGTCTATGAACTGGTTCTGTTCTATGGCTGACATCAATAACCAGTTATCCCCCTGTCTATGAACTGGTTATCATCAATGGCTGACATCAATAACCAGTTATCCCCCTGTCTATGAACTGGTTCTGTTCAATGGCTGGCATCCATAACCAGTTATCCCCCTGTCTATTGTGGTGGAAATTATAATCAAGTGAGAAAAATACTTTGTCATTTCTTCAAACAATCATTTTTATTTAACATC